AGATTGCGTGCTGGCGCGACTGCAGGAGCTGGTGGTTGGCTGCCAGCTGGGGAGGAGCGCGGCTGTCGTGAAATGAGAAAGTCCAGATCAAATGCACAGCGACGCATATCTGCGAGGATTTTGACGGACGATGGCGTGACGCGCTCACCCTCATTGGTGCTGGACTGTTGGTATTCGCCATACTCGTCGAGTACGCGCTGTAGGAGGGAGCTATAGCGCTCTGCCACTTTCCAGTACTTCCCCATTTGAGAAAGTGTGTCAACAAAGAAGATGATGTCGGGGCTAACAATGTGGGCGATGGTGGATCCATGGACAAGCAGCAGGCGAGCAGAAACCCAGAGGGTGAAGGCAAAAGGCGGCCCCATCTTGTCTAGCATGTTATTTTCTACGACATAGCGGGTCACAGAAAGAATGTTGTCAACTGCCAGCAAGCACCGTTGGCTAGCACTGTATGATGGCGTAAAGATTGGAGAACGGGTTGTCGGGTACGCGGCCGACGAATGGAGTCGAATCACAGCGCTACAAAGTGTTAGCGATTTTACCGCGGGGCTGAGTGCAAGGGTGTGATATCTACACCACAGACAGAACTCACGTTTGATATGTGGCGTGTAGTTGAACCCAGTCACAGTGAAGGTTCCGGCTATGCTTGGGTCCACTGAAGAGGCGGGACGAGTTTTCATAAGCATACTCGGCTGGAAGATTGAATTCCCAGGACGTGAGTTCGCTATCGAGCTTGCGATACATCACTTGCCATTCCTCGACATCGGAAAGCGCACCTATATCAACGGGTCTCTTCAAAAAGGTGTGTATTCGGGATAGTATCCCTAGTATTTCCACGTAAAGTCCGAATGTTCCCACATTCTCGGCGCGACTCGAATATTCAGCACGATCGCTGGTGCGCCGGAACCACCGAGTCTCGACCGGCTGGTTCTTGTGGAAGTATTCATCCTTGCATGGAAGCTTGCGGTCAATATCCTTGTCGTCCAAGGCAAAGTCAAATGCAGTGGCGATAGTTGAGTATCGGTCTAGGAGGTAAACCATCCAAAACAGCCTCCGTCTGCTCTCATCCTCAATCCAGGTGTCAGGATCTGGAAGGGTGACTGCGCGCAGGGTATAAATGGAAGGATATAGAGGGGCAATGAGCGAGGATTTGGACTCCACGGCTAGGCCCAGTTGGACTACGGAACGCGTGACCAAAGCAAGTAACTTCCATCCCGGGGGGCCGTTGGAAGAACCTACCAAGTCCAGCGCTAAAATCACCAGAGCTTGGAGCGCTTTGACCGAAGAGTTTTCCAGACCGTAGAAAAGCACCTTCTGCTTCGACGAGTCATGATATCGCTTCCGATTCTGCGCGTTGAGTCGACTATCATTCGAAAAGCGGAGCGTGGTTGCCACAATGGCATAAAGTACGACCCTATCAGCTTCTTCCAACGGAGAGGGTCCGAAGAACGTATCGAGCGTAGTCCGGCGATGGAGTATGGGACACCAAGTGTTGATGTGTTCGAAGTAGAGATCGACTAGTGCATATAGTAGATCATAGGGGGGGAGATCGAGTTCTGGGTCAGCTAATGATTGTTCCTGGCTGTTGTATAATGACACTGGGACCCTCAAAGAAGATTCATTCCCTGTATAATCACTCTGGGTCGAGTTATTGGAAAGATGAGGCAACGCTAGGGCAGAAGAGATGCCATTCGGAAGGTGATTTGGTAGCGTGTTCCGCACCGACATGTCCGAGGGACTTGTGATAGAGACGTCAGATTGACGGTTAGGGTGCGGGAATGAGGCTGGCTCCTGGAAGTGGAAGGTAGTTTGAGGGCTTGTTCCATGAGCGGCAGAAGGCTCTGAAGGCGAACTGTACGAGAAAGGTGCAGGGTGGAGAGCATCTCGGTCCAGACGTGATTGACCCCCAATGATATGCTTCTCGATGAGACGAGCCTGCGTCTGGATAACTTCCTCCAAGCGGTCTGTATCTCCGATATCAGTCGAGCGGGCTACAAGAGGATGTATGAGATTGGCAAGAAGACAATATGCCTACCGAGTCGCTGTTCAAGCTCCTTGCCATACCCCGCACGAAGGCCGGGCTTCTTGCGTTCCTTGTACTCGCACAACTGGCCATTGCGTGCACACCACCCACAGCTGGGTTGAGCTCGATCTAGCAAGGTTAGCAAGGCATGTATGTAACATTGCACTACCACGCCGCTCACCTACCACATTTGACTTTCCTCTGCTTACAAAGCTCACATCTTGTGGTTAAGGACGTTAGTCAGATCGGTACGACAGCCACTACTGTTTCACAAAGGAAGGTACAGGGCGAAATGCAGATGCAAGATGCCCGAAGAGTGTTCATTCATCCAAAGCTTGTTTTAGGCTGGGTTGAAGAGGAGACATACGAGACAGTGAGGGGGCGCTTGCGCTTCAGTGCTCGAGAAGCACTCGAGTCGTTCTGGGCCACCCGGTCATTGTCACTGTCAGCAGCGGACCAAGACTCATCTCCGCTTTGGTACCGTTCTGGCTCGCCAGAAGGTCGGTATGGTGGTGGAGTCCGCTCAGCAGGAGGAGCTGTTGGTGGTGGTTGTGCTGCAGCAGAATTCGGCATAGCACTGTACTGTACTGTACTTCGGCGAATCGGGATCTGCAAGGAAGGAGGGGAGGTCGGTTTAGCCACGGCGATTGGTATCAGTACTCAGGAAAACCTCATGATGACAGACAGGGTGAGGGGGGGGGTTGAGGTGAAGATCGGGGGAGGAATTGAACCGAATTGAACAACAAAAGAAAAGAGACCGGGGAACGCGAAAGGGAAAGGGAAGAGGCAGAAAGGCGAAGAGCAGACAGGCAGGCGGGAGTGCGTGCGGCGGTGCAAGTGCGGGCAGGCTAAGGCCCACGACCCAGAGTGGGAATAACCTTTCACCCCCGCAATTTCCCACCGCGGCGCTTCTTTGTCTGGTTTGTTTTCTTCCTGGGGCAAGGCCCGATCCGCCAGTCAGCTGATGAGCTGTAGAGAAAGCTGTTGACCTCGGTCACTTTTACCCCGAACTCGCGCTGCCCGCCCGGTCGCATGTGTTCAAATATGAGAGGTTTTCCGGGGGGAGAATGGCTGTCTTCTTCTTCATTTCTTCTCATTTGGTTTCTGTTCTGAAATTACATTCTGTTGCCTGTACGTCATCGTCACCATGAGCAGCACTACGCCCACTTTCCCCCGCATCAAGGAAGTCCGCACTTTCATCACAAGCGGAGTGGGCTCCGGAGGTGACTATCACAATGTAAGTCGCAACCGGCATTCGCATGTAGCGAGAAACACCCTAACTTTTCCTTCTCTCTTCAGGTCAAGGGTGGTCACTGGCTGATTGACAGCGACATTTCGACCCCGATGACCAAATGGGCGGAATACCGTGGCTCGCGGACCTCGTGGGGTATCAACGTCCTCGGCTCTTTCTGCGTCGAGCTGGAAGCCACCGATGGAACCAAGGGCTTCGCCACGGGCTTCGGTGGCCCCCCGGCTTGCTGGTTGGTTCACCAACACTTCGAGCGTTTCTTGATCGGTGCCGGTGAGTCTCAGCTTAGGTCTTCTCTCGAGTTCATAGAATGAACGATGACTAATCCCTAGGGTCTCGTTCATAGATCCCCGTGATACCAACGACTTGTTCGAGAGAATGTATCGGGCTTCGATGTTCTACGGCCGTAAAGGTCTTCCTGTGGCCGTCATTTCCGTGATCGATCTGGCCCTGTGGGATCTGGTGGGCAAGATCCGCAAGGAGCCTGTCTACAAACTCATTGGCGGAGCCACGCGCTCACGGCTGCACTTCTACTGCACTGGGCCGCAGCCCGCCGCCGCCAAGGCCGCCGGCTTCATTGGCGCGAAGGTCGCCCTCCCCCACGGCCCCGACGAGGGCACCGAAGGTCTGCTGAAGAACGTCGCCTACCTGCGCAAGCAGCGCGACTCGGTCGGCCCCGACTTTCCCCTGCGTGTGGACTGCTACATGTCCCTGAACGTCCCCTACACCGTTGAGCTCGTCAAGCGCTGCGAAGCTGACGGCATCAACATTGACTGGTGGGAGGAGTGTCTCACCCCGGATGACTTTGATGGCCATGCGCTCCTGAAGAGAGCCCATCCCACGGTCAAGTTCACCACCGGCGAGCACGAGTACTCGCGCTACGGGTTCCGCAAGCTGATTGAGGGGCGCAACCTGGATATTGTGCAGCCGGACGTGATGTGGGTTGGCGGTCTGACCGAACTATTGAAGGTCTCGGCCATGGCCGCAGCCTACGATATTCCCGTGGTCCCCCACGCTTCCGGCCCATACTCATACCACTTTGTGGTCTCCCAGCCCAACACACCGTTCCAGGAGTACCTGGCCAACTCGCCCGACGGCAGCACGGTTGAGCCGGTCTTCGGAAATCTGTTTTTGAACGAGCCCATTCCCACTCAAGGCTACCTGGATGTGTCGATCCTCGACAAGCCCGGATTCGGCCTCGAGCTGAACCCCGCTGCCCCCCTCATCAACGCCGCCACTATCCTCACCCCGGCTCCCCAGAAGGGCTTGCCCGCTCCGGTAGCAGAACAGCCCGAGGCCAACGGAACTGCATAGAATGAATGATCTACGACGCGAGTCTTGTGAGGGAAGGCTGTTAACAGGATTGCGCAGCGCGCAGTAGATCCTACTTTTCTTATTGTCATTGTTTTTTTTCTTTTAAATGTCCCATGTATGACTGATGTTCATTTTTTTTTCTTCTGACTCGTGTTTCATGATGTTACTCCATGTTCATAGACGGAAAATTCTCATTGACCGACGAATGGTTCCGACGGTGGAGATGTACAGTATGTGTATTGTGCACCGCGCCGAGTCGGGTAAAAGTAGCGACACGAGCAAGTGTGGGGTAAACACACGTTCGCTCGGGGTATCAACACCGCGAAACCCCCGAGGCCGCGACTCCACGTGCCCCCCTCCCTTTCCAGCTTCCCCACTGTCTTATCGCTTCGGCGGGGTTAGCATTGATTGTAGCATTTGTCGAGGAAAAAAAAAAAGAAAAGAAAAGAAAAGGCCAAATCCTCCAGCGAAGGTCCCATTTCGAAGGTAGAGATATATCTAGGCAATTCCCCGGCGGATTCGCCCCCAATTGAGGTCTGTTCTACGACTCCTGGTGGGAAAATTGACCAACAACACTCTCAAATCACAACACCAAACCATGCCGCTTCCGCAACTCCTCATCGGCAAAGTGGCCGCCATCACCGGCGGGTTGACCGGGATTGGCAGAGTGAGTTTTTGTTTCCCTCCTCCTGCGATGACTTTCCCAGGCCGAACCAGTCCGACCAACTGAGTCGCTTTCCAGGCCATTGCCCTCGACTACCTTCGACACGGCGCCAAGGTAGCCGTCAACCACCTCGGGGGCCCGAACGACGAGCCACTCCTGGAGGCGCTGCGCAAGGACGCGTCCGCGGTGAGCGGAGGCGACGAGAGCAGATTCATCGCCGTGGCGGGGGATATCTCGCAGCCCGAGACGGGGCGCGAGTTCGTCGCCCAGACGGTCGAGGCATTCGGACGGCTGGATGTGTTTGTGAGCAATGCGGGGGTGTGCAAGTTTGAAGAATTCTTGGAGTACGTTCATGCGCACTTGCTTGTTTCTGCGGTGGCCGAAAAGGGTTTTTCTGCCATATCGATGATCGGAGACCGACAATGCTAATCGTGGATCTCTGACAGGGTCGACCCTTCCCTGCTCGGCCACACCTTCAACACCAACCTCTCCGGTGCCTTCTACGCCGTGCAGGCAGCCGCGCGACAGATGGCGCTCGCCCAGTCGCCGCCCGGCGGCTCGATCATCGGCATCAGCTCCATCTCAGCGCTGGTCGGCGGCGGGCAGCAGACCCACTACACGCCCACCAAGGCCGGCGTGCTCAGCCTCATGCAGTCGACGGCCGTGGCGCTGGGCAAGTACGGCATCCGCTGCAATGCGCTGCTGCCGGGGACCATCCGCACGCAGCTGAACGACGAGGATATGAGCGACCCCGCGAAGCGGACGTACATGGAAGGCAGAATCCCGCTGGGACGTCTGGGCCAGCCGCCGGATCTGGCGGGCCCCGCGGTGTTTCTGGCGTGCGAGGAGTTAAGTGGCTATGTGGTGAGTGTCTGCCTGGCCCTGATAGCTGTGATCTTTTCTCGCCGAGGTCCATTACTGACTGCTAGGGGGGTGAACAACAGACTGGTGCACAGCTGCTCGTGGATGGTGGATTGTTTGTGAATCTTCAGTAGACCGGGATCTTGTATTATGACTGGCACCCTGCATATAACACATATATAGCTATGAATGGAAGCCTAAGTGTAAACATTCATAAAGACTCAAACCTCCACGCCGTAAGCCTGAACGGCAACACCGCCCCAAACCCCTTCCCTTTCCGCCTGGGACAAGCCTCTGCGGTCCAAGATCTCGTCGACGACCCTCCTCCACCGGCCCCACGACACCGCATTGCCTCCGCCACCGACATTGCACACCGGCCAATCCGACCCAAACATGACTCTCTGCGGCCCGAAGACATCGAACACGACATCCGTCCACGGCTGCATCCGGTCCACCAGCGCCTTGACATCGGGCTCCGACCCCTCCTCCAGCGGCAGCAGCTCCGAGAATCCGCCGGAAAGCTTCATAAAGGTCGAGGGATACTGGGCCATGGCCATGATCAAGGACGACCACTCCAAGAAATCCGGATGAGTGGCCACAGAAGCCGGGCCATGATACGGCAGCCGGAGATTCGGTTTACACAGGTGGTCTGCCCACAGAACCAAGTCAGATATCCCTCCTACCCACGAGAGGATTCACCCGGAACGGATGAGCAGGGGGGGAAAAAAACACTCACTGATAACGACCTTCACCCGCGATCCCTCCTCCACCCGGTCATCAAAAACCCCCCTTAACATCTCCGCCGCCTCCCTCAACTGCCACATGCCGCCCTGCCTCGCATCCACCCCCAGATCGAACGCCAGCCCCTGCCTCCCCAGCCAACGCAGCCCCTCCACGAACCCAGCCTGCCCCATCACCCCCTTCGGCTTATCCTGAACCAGATACCGCACCCCGCAGACTTTGCGGTAGACATCCTCCCCGGTCCGCTCCCGCACCAGCCCCATATACCTCTCCAAGACCGCCGCACCCCCCGGCACCGGCGCCCACGGCACCATCCCGAGACACAGCTGGCGATCCGCCTCCGCATGGCCCTCCCCGGGCACGGGGGTTCCCGTGATGATCCGCGTCAGAAGGGACACCTCGTCCAGCGGATGCGACCAGCCGAGCTTTTCGGACTCCTCCTCGACCGAGGAGATGCGGTCGGTCTCTAGGAAGATGAAGCCCCGGAGATAGGAGGGCGCGGCGCCCGCGGCGCCCGCGGCGCTCGGCGTACTTGTGGTCGCGGCCGTCGTCGCCTGGCGGTACTCGTCGACCGAGTGCTGCGCGCCCAGCGGGTTCTGGGGCCCGTGCCAGGCCAAGGTCGGCAGGTGGGATGCGGGGAATAGGTGGATGTGGGAGTCCACGATGGGGATTGGTTTGGACATGTTGGTGGGTTGGGGTTGGGGTTGGTGGCTGCTTTCTTCCTTTTCTTTCCTTAACTCCAGAATCGAAGAGGAAACTCGTCCTGAAGAGGTGTTGTGCTAGGCTTCCAGGTGACGAAAACTGCGGGGTAATTAAGGACGATCAGGATCTACGGCGATGCGAGCTAGCAAGCCCTGAGAGGCTGAGGTCAAGCGGGAGGCGCAAAGCTGACGAGGGGGGAAGGGGTTTCGAATCGAGAGGAGAACAAAAGCTTTGCAAAACATGTAATGCTCAGTACAATTGAAGTTGGGGACGAGCATTTCTTCGGGATTACGTCGCGTGCGGGGATGGGAGAGGGGCAATGAGGGAGCTCGAGATCTCCTGACTTGTTTACTTCGCGATCGGTAGCCATTACGCCGAGTCGACTGCCCCTCGGACTCTCCACGAACCCCACTCTCGAGTCTCAACATACTATGTAATATATCTCCAACCTTTCTCCACATCTTAGCTGGGTCGTCTCCCGGTCTCTCCTCCGCAGAGGATTGTGCGCCGATTGGTCCGTGGGATAGGACGCTGGCTGATGGCCGTTATAGAACGACGCTCAGGTGAACTCGTGTCGCCCGCATTGTGTGTTGAGCGGTCGAGGCCAGATATATATTGAATCGATTGGGAGGACGATACTCACATGTGAAGAAAGCCTGATCAAACTCATGAGAGCCAAGACGGACCCAGCAGATATAACATCCGAGACCAGCAGGAGAAAGTCCACAAAAACAGTCAACCGCTTCCTTCAAAGCCATACAAACACAAAAAGGTCTAAACCGGAGGAATTATCTTAGAGAAAGTATGATGACAAAAGTCAAAAAAAGTAATGACCTACGCAGGGCTCGAACCTGCAATCTCTTGATTCGTAGTCAAGCGCCTTACCATTGGGCCAGCAGGCCTTGCTGTTGCAGAACTGCTACATTGTTACATTTACGTCCCAACCACAGTGGATGACCTAGAGCCGAATGGTTTGGAGTATGGTTAATCGACATGAGTTGATCTCATATCTGCATGGGTAGCTGTCCCGCAAACCACGGCACACTTCCATTGTACATTTCCCGGGCCAGCGGAACGAGGGCAAGGATCTCCCAAGTAGTGCTTCTCGAAGCCCGCGTGGAACCATGGCTCGTGCATGACTGTTGTGTCACCGGGCGCCCAAAGTATACGACCTTTGCGCAATCCGCTGCTATGACATCAGTAGTACTCTAGTATACGAAGCAGATGCGGCTGATGAACGAGAATGATGGATGTCGCAGGGAGTATAACATATAGTGAAAAGTTGACAGGCTGAGATTGAGATCAATGAAAATATGACATGTTGAGCACAAAAGAATCACCAGCGGCAAGGGTATAAACGAAAGAAACCACCCAATGCAACGCTATCTAGCCTTAGAAAAAAAAAAGTGAAAGATCCTCTGAATGAGGCAATGCCGCGCCTGAAATCTATCGAGCTCGCTTGCTATTGCCGGTAGTCGTAGCTGAAGACGGCCTTTTCTGACCAGCACCTGCGTCAGTCGATGCCAGAGCACGGATCAGCGCGTCCAGCCGGATGATATACGCCTTGGGTGCGCGGTCTACCTCCACCTTGCGCAGGACCCCCTTCAGCTTCTCCTCGAACTGACGAAGGTCCTGAAGGGGAAGCTGCTCGAGAACATCAAGGACAAAGAAGTCTCCAGTCTCGTTGGTCCTGCCAACGAGCTGGTGATAGAGATTGCGCCGGTCCTCGTCCTCGCCGTCAAACGTCTCTCGACCCCAGGTATTGCCCTCCAAGGGATCCCGGTTACGGCCGCAGATATCTTCCAGCAGCGTCACGAGCGCTTTCGCAGCCCCATCTGCGCCGTGGGGTGCCCGCGCAACGATGCTTCTCTGAATCCGATGGACGTGACCGTGGATCTCCTCCAGCACAGTCCTGGCAGTCAAGACCCGGACTCCCGTCGGAAGCTGCCCGGTCTGGCAGTACCGATCGAAGCCGGCGAGTAAGCTCCGCAGTCTCTGCTGGACCTTGTCAAAGTATATCGCCGTGCAAGCCCCGATGGGCATCGCTTTGCGCAGACTAGCGTAGACTGCGTCGTCGTGGACAGCCAGCCGGAACAAGGTCGCCGCAAAGTCTCCCTGCACCACGCACTGCTCGGGCGTGCGGGCCTGCCCCGGCTCATCACCGGCAAGGTCCGGACGGAAGTCCTCGGGCAGGATGGCGCTATCGAAGGCGGACATGATATCCCTGACCATCTCCTGGCGGTTCATCCCCCCGTGGGCCTCGAAGGGCGAATACGGCCAGTCCGATTCGTGCGCAATGGTAGGTATCTTGCTATCGAGCAGTTGTCGGATGCGTCCCAGGTTCGGTAGGCGGTCATGGTTGGATAGAGGAATGTCGGGGGTAGGAGGTCGGGAGAAGAGGCGGCCATGAAGCTGATCGTGAAGCCACTTCTGACGGTTAGTATTGAAGAGAAGTAAAAGAGAGTTTCCCGACAAGTGGACTTGAGTCACACTTACATAGATATGTTGGCACGGTACACTGAGTTGACTCGAGTACGTCGAACAAGTGCAAGTGAAAGACTCTGCTCCGAGATGAACGTGCGGCCGCTCTGACAACTGGAACCCGTATCCTGTTTGCGTCTCCTGGCAGCGGATCACGTCGAAGTGACTCGTCAATCCCACCAGAGCTCTGGCCTTGAAACCGAAAGACAGCCTGGAGAGGTCGTAAGAAAGGCCTGACGCGCCGTGTACAACCGAGTGTGCCGTCGGAGTTGCCGTTTCGTCTGCGCTGGAATCGCTTCCACCATCCGAACCATCACTGTCATCGCTGTCCTCGGCCTGACTTCTGACGATCTCTTTTCTGGGGCGGACTGTTGGCATGTCACCGGTAATCGACAGTCTTCGAAGTTGGCGAGTAGGAGTAGACATGAATACTCGGTCGTGCTTCGGCGAAAGCTAGACTTCAATTAGATGTGTGTAGTGGGGACAATACAGTAGATAATCTGTTCCATGCTGCATTGGCGAAACTGACATTATATAGAGTTTGCTCCGAACCAAGGACGAAAGCGGGTACTCTTCGCTGCCAGGCAGTCGTACTCAGTCCTGTGCATTCGCCCACAAGCTGGCACAGTGACAATCAACCGGACTCACAGTAGAAAATGCGCCGTCCGAGCCTCGTATTGCGGACCAACTCTCAAGGTGGGCTGGCGTAGATCACCACTGGTAGCAACCTGCCAAAGACTGCGCCTCAGGGTTCGCCGTGGACGTATCTGCTGTTTCAAGGTGTAAGTTATGGGTCATGGGTCGGTAAGCGAACAAAGCACTCAAGCTTTGTGGTTGTCGTGCCGGCGCTGCGCTGTGCCGAGCACAGCGCAGCGCAGCCACTCGACATCGACTATCGATACTGAAGGCGTGCGGCGCATCTCGACATATACAGTACCTACAGCCTCAGCTTGCAACCTCCACACTTGGCAGCAGAAGACCGTTCTCCCTGATTGTGCCGCATCCCCGTAAGTGTATCCAATATACTCTACCAGAAAACATTAGCCTTAAATTTATGTGGCCAACGCCACACTGGAGTATCCCCACCGCCCCAATAGAAACAAGGCAAAAGATAAAAGATAAGAAGCGTAAGGCTCCACGGGACTTCTAATTACATATTAAAAACACTGATAATATATGTACTGAGGAAAGTTGATTCTACGAGCAAGTAGCTTGTGCTCATCCTCATGTGACCTTCCTTGCAGCGTTCCTCTTCTTCGCATTCTCCAATGCCTTGCGAAGTCGCTCTTGATGCTCGTCGTCTCCCGCAGGGTGGCCCGAGGCAGGCTTGGTGGCGGAGCCGGGACTCGGGGAGCGAGCATTGTTGGGCGGCTGCACAGGCTCCTGCAATAGAGTAGGCGATTGTTCGGAGGCAGCATCGTGGCCGAGGGAACGGAGAAGATCCTTGATGCTAGCGGTCACCCGAGCTGGCCCTTCCCTCACACTCTCTAGCTTGGATTCTAGATCATCCTGGATCTTCTTATCTTCTTTCTTCTTCTCAGCCTCGAGTTGACGAGAAACATCAGCCTCGGCGTCTGAGCATCGAGCCTCAGCAACCGAGACACTATAATCGGCGTCGTTGAGAGATGCGTCGGCGATACCGAAATTCTCGAGTATCGACTCGGAGTCCTCGCGCAAATAGTCAATGAACTGGCTGACTGATTTGAATAATTGCACAATGTCACTCTCTGAGAGAGGAGAAGAACGAAGGCTTGCCGCGTCGATTCGTGATACCTTTGCAGTGATGTCATCGAGTACTCTCTGGTTTTCTCCGAGACCATGCATGATAACATAATCGAAAGAGTCCATCAATCGATTGGCTCTAGCATCCCGTTCTCGAGCAGCCTCCAGCTTATTGCGCTTCTCCATCTGATCGAATTCTTGATCCAGCCGTTTGAGGGCGGTTGAGTCGCCCATATAAACGAGGGGCCGCCTCTCAGCTTTCTTTCGTCGACGTTCGCGGTCCAAAGCAATTTCAAGGCGCTTCTGATAGCGAGCTTCTAGGTCACGGTAGATCTCATTGACAGTCTTCATTGCCTTAGACACATGACTATGGTCCTTGACCGTTTTTGGGATTGCATTGTCACCGTCGTCAAGCTGGGCGAGAGCGGCTTCATAGTCGGTTTGTAATACCAGGACCTCCTCTTTCAACCGTTTGTCCAGCGGATCAAAGACGCGTGCAATAAAGTCGTTCAGTTCTTGCCTCTCCTCCTCCAGCTGGCAGCGAGCCTCCTTCTGACGGAATTCCTCCTCGAGGACATTGATATCAGCATAACCTATCTCCTTTCCGTGGAAAAGGGCATCAATGTGTCTTTCGGACTCTTCCTGCCGCTGGACTCGTTCCTTCTCCAGTGCGTCTCTACGAGACTTGTTCGAAGCAGCCCAGGTATTTAACGCCTCGTGAATGTAGGTGAAGTCGTTGGTTATTCCCTTGGGCTCCTTTTTCGTGGTATTCTCAGTGCCGCTCACAGATTCTTTGCCTAGTGACGATGACACGATTGAGCGTAGTTCGTCCCAGGGGTCAGGAAGTCTGCCTTGTCTAAGGGAGGCGGGTAGTGGTGGGAGAGTCGACGACTTCTGGGAGGCTGTTTTTCGATACGCAATGCTTTTCTCCCTGATAAGACCGATGAACGTTTCGTCCTGCCCTGCATGATTTGGTGCCTCTGCAGGCAATGAGAGGTCTTCTGATGCAGGAAGCAAGCCGTTGGACATCACCCGCCCGCTTTCAGCAGATGCTTGACGCAGGGCAGAATAGGCTTGATATGCTGGACGATCAAATACGAGGGCATCTGAACCCCTCTGAGGGCCCTCCGTGTAACGGAACGGCGTATAAATCGGCTGCGGGGGATTAGTAGCCAGAGGGGAGAGGTCCTGCTTATGTGCCGCATGATCGATCATCGTAGGCGGTACTGAGGCAGGTCTTGGGGATACTATCTGTGCACCAAAGGAAGGGGCAACATTATGAGATGGGGAGCTTTTCACATTTGCGGGATCGGGTGTGTGAAGCCTAAGGATTGGCCTGCCACCCGGACTGTAGCTGCCATCTCCAGATTCGTCCGCGGTACTAGTGGGTACAGCGAGGTCCTCGGTTTCCACTGGACACAGTCCAGATTCCACAGGAGGAGACGCACGATCAATCTCGCTGCTGCTTGCAAGAGCAGTTGGTGTTACCGATGCTGAAGGAGAAGTGCCTGTCGTTGTCTGGTCGGCACTCTTTGAGTGAGGATCAATGCTATACAAGACTTCACGTAGCTTCGTCTCCTTGGCCACGAAACTTGTAAAAATCTCAAATCTATCCGAATCGGTATCTGCCGTAGCCTCCTTCCGTAGCATTGCCACATATCGTTCCAAGGAGGATTTGGACCAGGTATCAAGATCGTCAAAGGGATCAGGCCGATTCAATGACGCAAGCGCTGTCCGATGTGTTCCTTGGACTTCACCAGCCTTACTTTCGGTCCCTTTCATGCTTGTCTTGCTCTCACTTTGCACTGCATGTTCTGATTCTGCATCATCACCTAGGTCAGGGTTTTGTGAGTTTGTTGTAAGAGGGCGAGTCCATGCTTCAATGACACCATCAATACTCTCCACGGTTTCTGAAGTAGAGACGGAGCTGTCAATAGACTCCGTACTATCAACTCTAGCATCCATTCCAAGCGAGAGGGGCGGTTCGTAATCGTCCTGTGCTGTATCAACACTAACAGGAGAATCATGAATCTCCGGCTGCGTATTAGTATTACCTGTGTGAAAGTCTGCTGGAGATGGCCCAGAGCTACTAGGGAAGCTATGAGGTGCTGAATTCGATGCCGCAGGTAAGTGAGAGGGGAACCCCGCGCCCACTGGGCTTGCATGTTCACGCTTGGGAGCTAAAGCCGCAACATCGTCGATGTTCCCTGGCGTCGGCGATAAATGCTCCCAGGCAGAAGGGGTGCCAGGGCCAAGAGCGGAGGCGCTAGTAGGGATCGAAGTGGGATTAGTTTTGGGTGGCACCGGAGGCGCGGCGACAGGTAGCAATTCAGGGGCTATGCTGGTGGTTGTCTCATGAACCCACGAAGACTGGGGTTCTGGATGTCCAACGATATATGACGAATGGGGTTGCTGTGGACTTGCAAGTGGAGGCAGTCCTGAATTAGGCGCTGCAAGCCCTACGAGGTTGGCTTGCATTGGTGCTGTTGGGCTGGGCCGCTGTACGGGAGAATCATGAGGTTGACTGAAGACGGCGCTAGAATATGGTGGAGGTTGTGAATGATCCTGCGTTTGGCCGCCGGAATGAGAAGCGAAGCCCTGGTAACCGGAAGGAGTAGGAGGTGGCGGCGTGGCCTGTGTTGGTACGGACTGAGTCTGTTGATGGTATGCCACTGGAAGAGCGCTCGTTGTCCATTGCGGATATGGATTCAATGCATCTTGAGCTGCCTGCACTGGAGTTGCCGACGAAGGCCTTTGGAAATCCAAGGAGCTATTGGCGGAAGAATTCGTCTGGATTGAATGGGACTGTGTTGTGCTTGGAGGTCGCGGCTGGGGAGTTTGTCAGTTGTGCAAGCCCCCATATTCTGGCAGTACTGCCAGGTGTATGTATACAGTGTACGGAGACTGTACTTTGGTACACTTACCGGGAGTGGTGGGGGGCTTGGGGCCTGTAACTGCTGCCTGTTGTATTTCACCCCCCATGAAGTCGTGTCCATTCCTGCCATATTGGAAGTTGGAGAGACATTTGCGCCCGCGTTATTCACCAGAGGAGAATTGGTATTCGGTCGTGAACTACCCTGATGAGATGTTGGGCGAGCTGGGAGAGGGGGGTTTGCCTGCCATGACGGCTGCGGGGGATTGTGCGGCGTCGCAGGACTTGAAGAAGTAGTGGTCGACGTGAGGCGCCATTCTGGCTGTGTAGGCCCTGTATTAGAGCCGTACATCTCCTTCTTAGTCTTCTGTTCTCACTAGAAAAATGAGCCTTGCGCAAAGTAGACTGTCTGCGTCGAGCACAGCGAGGTGAAAACGAAGGCAGAGCGGGAAGAAGAGAAGTGGCTGGCTGGTCTAAGAGAAGCACGGGGAAGAGATGGATGGATGATTGTCCTGCTGACTTCAGGTGGCACAAGATCAACTTAACAGGAAGCAGGTTGAACTGTACTCCGTACTGTACCCCCTTTCCCTGGTGACCTAGTTTATTTGCGGTCTTGGTATTATTTATCGAACCCCTCGGGGTATGGATGGGGGAGGGGGAGAAGAAGAAGGAGAGTCGGAAGGAGAGCCGAGCGAGGCGGTGCCGAACACTCAATACCTACATTACCGTGCCGACTAACACTATAAGGTATTCTCCAACCACCAACACCACCACCACCTTCTTCTACTTTTCTCAATCTCAGGCCCCCCGAATAGCACACCACTCTGATTCTCCTCATTCTTAGATGATAGACAGCTCAGGCTGAGAGCAAACCCTCATTGCTCGAAGATGGTAGGAGAACCGGCAGAGGCAGACGTTCCAAGGTTCTTTTCCGTCCTTTGTTTATGCGCGCGATGCTGTCTTGGAAGGTCATTTCCTCAAGCATGGAGCACCTCCAAATCATAATTGGCTAGTGAGCTTACGAGCTCATTCCCCACGGTTTACATTCTCTGTCTTCCTTTGTGCCTTTTGCCTTCTTTGTCGCTCGAAATCGCGCGAGTCGTAGTCCTGCAGTACTACCATGTCTAAAAAGGTCAACGCGCCCAACAAGCGTTGGCGCAAACGCGTAGTTCTCTTCTATCCACCCGAAATCTAGCTTATGTTGCCGGTCGAGTGACATTTCTCAAAGAGTCTCATCCTTTCTCGAGCACAGTATCTGGGATAGAACCAGCAATTGCACCATGTCGACCGAGATCTCTGATGATTACCATCTGGAGCCCCCCCCGGATGAGGTGATACTTCCGCTGCCGCTGCCCCCGAGGCCTAACTTGTACAATGAGGTGGAATGGGGGCAGCATGTGAATCAGAACGATGCCCGCATTGCCTATCGCTTCTGGTTTCGCGCAGATGCGGCGATTCAGGGAGACCACAATACTGCAGGGGAAACGCCGTTTTTGCACCCAGCTGATGACGAGGAGAGGGCGGCGGACCCTATGCATGCCCTAGCACGGAACATTTACAATGACCTGATGCGACAGCATCTCGCGCCGATTAGCCCCAATGATCAGGGGACAGCGTGGACGAGTCACTCGTGGGGTTTCCATGACATCTTCCCAAAGGATGAGCAGTCCAGGGACGATGGCGACAACATCCGGTGGATATTCTTTGAAAACAAGTCAGCCCAGTCCATGAAGTCCGATCAACTCAAAGAGGCTCTGGCTGAAAGAGGCCTCGATCACAAGGGTACAGTGGCTGTACTGCGCCAGCGTCTGGAAACGTACCAGAAAAAAGGGCCGAAGTGCTACCGGGCCCTACGGCGCAGCGACCTCTCGCATTGGGGTGTTGAAAGAACAGACATCAGTCGCCTGTTCGCGATCAACATATCAGAGGATGAAACGGCACGCACAGTTGACCTGTACACTTGCGCCATCCTCCGAAGCCCATACAACCCTATATACTGGATGGGTCGAGCTTATTGCCACTACCGACATGCCATGTTTGACCTTGCCATTGGGGACGCTTATCGAGCCCGGATCCTACTTGAGGTGTTAGTCAATCCCATGAGGCGAAACGTCCAACCCGGCCTTTACACTCTGATCTGGCATGCCATTGAGCAGCACATCGAGGCCGGCGGAGTGCAAGACGAGATTCGCTGGCTGCGCCGTAGCAATGGAATCAACTATTTTATTCCAACCATGCGAAAGGCACTTCAAAACATTATCTGTCTCAGTCTCATGGCTCTCCAAGGGTGGGATGATCACTCGCACTTCGAGCAGGACCTTCTGGACAGAATTATCATGAATGACCGCGATACGCTACCGTTCAAACGGCGCCCTAAGGTTTTCGATAAGATCAAAAACTCTCCGACGTGCAATTGGAAGCTGGAAAACGACTGGGGCCGCAACTACCTGTACCACGAGCGACGTAGTGGGTGGAGTCGTGGAGACAGACCTTATCCCTATGAAGCAGATGATATAGTGAGATTGCCCAAGATTGGCGAAGGGGAAGGCTTCGCGGAAAAGGCCGACGAGTTCTTCGTCACCAGGAATGCCAGTCTCCCCTGGAAGAAGTGTAAGATCGAGATGGAAAGAGAGCAAAGGTATATGATGTTGGCGACCAAAGACATCGCCAAAGAGGAACTCATCTGGGTCGAAATGCCTTCAGCCCGGGGTCACCTGGCCACCAAAAGACCGCCACTCCCCGAAGACCATGTCCCTGAAAGAAAACTCGACTGTGATAACTGCCGAAGAGCGATCACTCGCCAAGAGCGGCGTAGACAGCGAGATGAGCTCAGCCGGGAGAGAAGGGCCAATGCGAGAAACAAAACCACCAGAGAAGCATGCGTCTGTATCGACAGTGACCCAATTACTATATTCTGCCCTGCTCGAGGCGAAGAGGGCGACGAAACCTGCGCCGAGAACGCCCGGAGACGATACCACTTCAATACATGTGGGAAGGATTGGGAATGGCTCCACGATGCCATGCGACCTGTCATCTACAGCTGGAAAGATAAAACAAAGTGGCTTTCGCATTCCAACGAGATGCATGGCACCGCGTTAAGCCTCCTGCTCCGGGAAGTCTTCGATATAACCCTTCTCAGACGGAAGACCAACCCGACTCTTCATGCACACGAGATCGACGAGCTCCTCGCCCTCGAAGGCCGCGCGGACTGGGGCAACCAGAGCTTCCCCTTTACATTCGCCGCCAACATCCAGGTCCCCATTGACATCCTGATGACCTTGGGCGTCGACATATTCCGGGACCTCAGTTTCGATACCTGGGTGATCCAGCTGGTGCTACAAAAACTCCTGGTGAACGCCGTACCTTGGGATCAGGGCCTGCGCGTCAAGATTAACCGAGCCGACAAAATCAAGAAGTCCTGGGCTTTCCCCAAAGCTAGTCAACAAGAGGATTGGCCCGATGAGAACTACGAGACATATGACCCCACCTGTCGGTTTTTGTACCTGTTTCCGGGATTCAGCTTCTTCGATCATGGGTGTAAGGACAACGGCAATGCGCGATGGGGATATGACACGGAGATCCCCAATCGATTGCTCGTATGGGCAACTAAGCCGATCAAGGCCGGGGAGGAGATCCGCATTTCGTATATCTCCGATCAAGATAAAGACGAGAGAGATGGTGTTCTACAGCGTGTGCTGGGTAAGCTATGTAGCTGTCCTGGGCCAACCCATGGCGTACCCCATGGTCCTGAGTCACCCCACCCCCATCCTCCTACAGAGGAATGACGAGCGCAGATTGAGACTTCTGGGGGCCTAAGGAGCGCAGGGTGGGACTGTCCAGGGAGCTGCTCAGTGAGCGCGAGTCGGACATATCGGCCAAGAGCTTTTAATAGCAGGCCATGCTCAAATTATGGCCACCATAAGGTATGAAGTGGTCTCCTCGTGTATCTATCTCAGCTTGGTTGGACTCCCCGGTGCCGCTCCCTGTCTTTGGCTTGCTACCGCACTGTTGCCCATCGTGTTTGGCTGTATTTGTTCTGTTATAGGCTGTGTCGTTATCTGTTCCTTCTCATCTGGTGTAAGTGTGCAAACTTGAATAGGCACGAAGTACTCCGTACACAAGTATGAATCAACAAACACCACGCAAAGGCGAGCATACTTTTGGGTCAAAACGAAATTCCATTATATGCACACACAAGAAGAAAAACCAAGCCAAACACAAAAGTGAAACCCAATCATATAAAATACAGTGTTTATCTTTGGAAAGCCGTAAAACAACAACCCAGGGAAGAAAGAACTAGTTTATCCAGATCATCACAGGCCGATGGGTGTGAGGACGGGGCCGAAAAGGAAAAGCCAGCATGAAACTTTACATACACATACATAAATCGCTCCGTATGACAAGACATGTAAGTGGTAAGTAGTATCTCAAGGGAGCGATGAATACTGATCGTCTCAAGCTCCCCTCCCTGCTAATCGTTCACTGAATAATGTTTAGACCTGAGCAGGCACTGTGAGACGTCTTCCCAGCTTCTCGAGCTCGCCGATCACACCGCCACCAGCCAGAGTCCACTTCTCGTTGACCCATTCTTCACTAACCTGCTGTCTCAGAAGACCGCTGCGCGCGAAGTACTCCATGAAGCCCCGGGCTTCTTCGCGAGAGACACCGGCAATGGTCTGAAGCTCCAGGGTTCCCTCCGTGGGAATAGAGGACTTAGGGGAATCAAACGCAGCAAGCACACGCTGGTCAGGATTACTGAAGGCGGTGGGCATGGGATAGTCCGGGCTGGAAGGATCCACGCGGTTTTGGCGAGCGGCCACCCGCTTGAGGGCAACATCAAGACTGTAGACACCAGGGTTGTTGGAGGCGGAGGTGGCGTAGAGCAGGACACCACCGTTGGGCAGAGCGGACTGCTGGTTCTTGCCGGGCTTCAGCAGAGAGAGGAAGTGCTGGACGAAAACAAGGTCATGAGCGTGAATGAGCTCGTACTTGGCAGTGCGGTATTTAGTCTCCTTCATCCAGTGGGCCAAGCCGTCAACGGCGACGAGCATAGGAGGACGGGAGGCGAAGTCCTTCTCGAAGCCAGGGGCAGGGGATGTAGCCGTGAGTTCAGCCCACAAGGCCTGGAAGATGGGCCAGGCGGTGGCAGGGTCTTGAATACCGAGGTTGGCGAGAGCCTCGAGTGTCGTGTCGCGCTTCAAGGGGGATTTGAGGGCAGGATGTTCACGAGAGACCTTCAACTTAGAGAGGACTTTTTGATTGGCCGTCACAGTGCGGGACAAGAGAGCGGCGGTGGCCTGGTTTTGAACATATACGTTGGGGTTCTCATCCGAAAGGGGAGCGTAGCTAGTGTTGGCCAAAACCAAGTCCTGACCTAGATGCCTTTGGTTAGTGATTTGCGGCATGGTACGTCACGATGGGTCAAGCATACATTCAGGAACAGTCACAACAACCCATTCCTTGGTAAAGGCCATCGACATGGCCTGAAGGAGGTGGACTGTCTTTCCGGAGCCTCGGGCTCCAGTAACGATTCTCTTGACCACCTTGCCCTTGTCCTCAGGTTTATCAGAGATCCCATCAATCAACCGTCCAAGTTCGAGGGATTCACGTCTCGTCACGGTGCCGGGCCGGCGGAAGATAGACCAGCCTTGCTTGGGCTTGAAGGCCTGAACAGCTCTCAATTGATCCAGCATGGGTACGGGCAAGCCAAGGATGGATCCACGAAGCCGAGAGTCCACCATGTTGTCTGCAGAGATATCCTGCATGTCTGCAACTTCGAGGGCATTAGGGTTGCTGAGGACAATGCGTTTCCGGAGCGCTCTCCGCTCTCCGATGGCAGGAGGGCGCACTCTGTCAGTGACCTTTCTCTTCTTCATTTTAAACGTCGTCGATGCCCGATGCTTGGGACCCGATTGTTGACCAGGTGCTTTCTTCTTCGGAGGCAATGCCAAAAGTGGACTCGACGTGTGGAACGCCGCGACTCGCTGCGCTGTCAAGGTTGGCGGAAGCATGGGCCGGGGGGACGCTGTTGGGAGCCGCGTCAGGCAACTCCAGCAGAATGAGGATACCATTGCGAGTGGGTTGGCGCACTGGCACCGTGGCCAGTGTCTAAGTGGTCAGTGGAGGAGTGCGGTGGTGAAAGAAGGAACGGAGGTTGCGCCGGAGACTCGCCGCAACGGCAATGGGAGTGGAATTGGGAATTTGGAGGCATATTTTCGAACCTCGACACTAAGGAACTTCCTCTAAGCGCCCCTTTTGGGATTAGTGCAATAGCAGCCTGTTTATGGCAGGCGGTGTAGAATAGCAGCAGCGGACCCCGTTTCACCGCCCGTCGTTTTTTTTCCTTTTAATTTTTTTTCCCCTGCGCTATCGCTAGTCCAGCACGCTTGGACGTCCAGATACTGTCCTTTCTTCTCAATCTTGATTCGAGTGTGAATTCATTTACGAGCGGCCGAGTCGTCACTGAATCATTACCAATGGCGACCACTGCTACCCAGGCAGCTTCTGCCACCAAGTCGAAGCCGGAAAGACTGTAAGTCAGATCTATAAATGCGCCCGGAACGTGACAAAATCAACATCCAGTACATGTGCTGACTAGTCCTTCGCCTCAGTCCTATCACTGTCTCCAAGCCCACTCCGTACACTTTCGATCTCGGTCACTTGCTTGTCAATGATCCCAATCCCCTCGAATTCTCCCGCTCCGAGCCGCTGGAAACTACCTTGAAGGCCACCGCCCGCGACGGCACACAGTCTCTCCTCAACCAGCTCTTGACGACCTGTCCCATCACCTCTTCACAACAGGGTGTGCTTCTCAGCCTTCCCGCGCCCGCCACTGTTCTTCCCCGTCACAAGCCCCTGCCGACGCCTAAGCCGCCGACCAAGTGGGAGTTGTTTGCACGCAAGAAGGGTATTGGCAAATTCAGCAGCAAGCCTGGTGCGGCTTTGGCGGACAAGGAGCGCCGCAAGAAGCTCGTGTACGATGAGGAGAAGGGCGAATGGGTGCCTCGCTGGGGCTACAAGGGAAAGAACAAGAACGAGGATGATTGGTTGGTGGAGGTGAACGAGAAGGATTGGAAGAAGGAGGAAGAAGCCGCTGCCAAGGGAAGCTCTATCCGTGGTATCTCGCGCGCCGAACGCAAGGACAGGATACGACGCAATGAGAGGAAGATGCGGTCGAATGAGCGCAAGTCGAGAAAGTCTGGCGGCGGTTAAGTCAGTTAGGGATGACAAAGTGCGTTTTGAGAAGCCGTGGTTGTGTTGTTGGAGATAATCCCTCATTTGCATCATTTAACGGGGGCTTTCCTTATAAGGCGTTCGGTCGGAGTCGCTGGTCTGCTGGTCTTGAATGTCAACTTGCCTACGTATGCACATTATCATTAGTAGGCCCAGAAAAGCAATATTACATTTACGCTTTGGTAGTATTCAAGTACCATCTAAGTCATTTGAAGTTTCATTGAAGGCCCACATATCACAAGACAGCTTTTCATAAGAGGTCATTCAATTTAACTTGCAGCCGCCCGCCGATGTGGTCTATATTACAGCAATAGATCAAAGCAACACAAATCCTCAAGATGCAACGAGGAATAATACAGAGAAAAAGTCAGAAAAGAAGGCAAAACTGCCAAAGTTAGGTCAAAAAGCATTCGATGGAGCTGTAATGGGGAATCCATGTAGGGCAAACCGGGAAATAGAAAGATACATGCATGCCAAACTGTAATATAGATGTCACCAAGGCTAAAAGCAAGATGATGGAAAAGGTGACCCAACGATACTCCAAACTCTGTACAAAAGAGCAATAAGACTGTATAATCATGACCGACTCCAAAAGCGCCAGGCATGCAGTATGACATAGGCTCAAGATGAATGAGATGGCGAAAAAAAGACAAACAAACTGCACGTTGGAAGGACAAGGCAAGACTATAGAGAGGCATATGCTGGAAATCATGTATGTATCGACGTTGAAAGCGAGATTGGTGAAGATTAGACGCCTAGATCCGAAGTATATAGCCTTAGTCATAATGCAGTACCTGCGGAACCAGTCCGAGAGACAGCACATGATGCCTTATTGGCAGATTTGAGATGCTTCAAAAGCAGAGAGAGAAAGTGCGACTTCTGGCGCAGCCTAGTCGGTCAAGCAATCAAAGTGTAGGAGAGAATTTTCGCCTCTTCATCCTAAACTTCAGAAGATGTGTTGTTCATATTTGAATGGGAGAAAGAGGGGGACCGAGTTCGGGAAGCTGGGAAACGCTCCTAGTATGCGCAGTTTCGATATTCTTCGGCCTATGTTTGCGGACCTTGGGCGTCTCCGGATGTGGCGGTTCTTCCTCAAATGCAGGCTGGCTGCTCCCAGAGGACACGGCCCTTTCATCACTGATTGATGAGTGTTGGATCTGGTAGGACATCCCGTCATGGGGGGAAGGAGAATTTTCCTTCTCATCCATGTCCTTCTCAAGCTGCAGGTACTCCTTCTCTGTCCAGCAACCTTGCCAGCAGTTTTTCCAATCGCAAACAAGGAAATGGAAACAGAAAGCATCGATTTTCATACAAGGCTGGAAGCAGATGCACAGATTTCGATAGTCCATCTTATTTTGCTCCACGTAGGAATGGAGCAGGTTGAGGTGACATGTTATGGCGAAGAGAAGATAATAGTTGTATGGCGGCAGTTTGGAGAGCTCGTCCTTCAGCAATTGCGGGGCTGTTGTTGCACCCTCACATTTCTCGGCAATCATGGCCTGAGTCTCCTTGGGAAACAGTTCATCGGGAAGTTCACGGAGCCAAGCCTTGAACATTGACCCAATCGTGTTGATGTCGTACAGGTTCGGTTCATCAAAGAGGTTGATATCGTATTCTGTTCAATGAGTTAGCATCCAAGCAGACCGCAAAAGTAGCCTAAGTGCGCATACCAGTGTCAAATCTTCGTTGCCAGTGTTTCACTTCCTTACCGCTACCCGGCACACGATATAGCCCTTCCTCCTCGCAGCCCTTGAAATTGAGGTAACTGAGCTCACGTTAGCAGCTGGGATCATCAAAGGACACTTCCAGACTCACTCAATGCAGCGATAGGGCAAAGCGGGCATCCAGAATTCCGTCTTATCCCGACAGTCTTCGAGCCTTTTCGCTATCCGAGTCCGACGCGCTTGCTGTATTAAGGGCAGATTGATCACGGAGCAGACATAGTTGTCGTCGTTAAACAGCTCGCGCTCATTAGTGCTGCCGCTGCGAGTGATTTTCCCGAAGAACCCTTTCCCAGCTTTGCCAATGCGATCTGCCGCACCACTGGAGGACTGTTTCAGATTATTGAAAAGTGTAGCCGATGCGCCGGAGACCTGACTCAGCGACGCCGACGGAACTATGGATGCGCCATAATTCTTATTACTACGGACAGAGCCGTTATGATATTCCGCAGGTCGGTCGGAGGTGAAACTGCGTGCTGTGGGATTGCCGGCAGTCCTTATACCACGATCATGACGTGATGCTTTGGGGGGCTCGTGAGCCTCCCGCTTGCTGCACTCCTCCAACCTCATGAGACTAGTGGACGGTCGTCTGTTCGCTATCCTGTTCATAGAAGACTCGTCCAGCCTGATCGAACGGGAACGAGAGAGTAGATTTGCAAAGCGCGGTTTATTCTTTCGAGCTGCACTGGCCGCTTCCGCCTCCGCAAGGATTTTTTTCGCGTCTGTCGGCTGTGAAATCTTCTCCTCTGGGTAATTACCACCTAAGGATAGATTTGTCAGATACACTCATAAAAGCTAAGCGCAATGGATTTGTACACACGTTCTTGTTGAGCTGCGCGCTCAATGGTGCCCGGCAGGTCAGGGGTCGATTCGTATTGCTTTGTTGAGATCTGTGTTTTGCGATCCCTAGAGCTGCCACGGCTCTTCGGGTTGGTCCCTGAATCGCCAGAACCGTCTGACCTCTGAGCCCTATGCGACACCTTGGGCGCCTTGAGATTGGCGAAGAAGGAACGGGATGGATCCCGGGAATGCTTGGGAGAATCCCTCGGAGAAGGAGGATACTGAGGAATGGCTGTTAGGCCTGGGGTAGCGGGTTCCGCAGTAGCAGGACCGGTAGAGGTAGGGCTGCTGTGGTTGTTGTGGTTGTTGGAATCTTGTGTGACAGGTCTTATTGTTGCCCCCTTGAAAAATGGCGAACTTGATAAAGACTTGGGAGAATGGGGTGTCAGGGGACTCGGTCCGTCGGAGCTTTGGGCGCCGGGAGTCAGTGGAGACGAGATCTTCGCATTTCCCTGCAGGGTGGAAGGGCTAAGATCTAAATTGGGAACAGTGGACTGCCTCGACGGCATTTTAGTCGTTTGTCACGAGCTAGATGCGTGCTCGAGTGAGGGGTATCGAGTATAATCTATCGATCGATTTTTGAAAAGAATTCACCAAACGTTGATGGGAAGGCGACGTCTCGAGGAAGAAAACGACCTAACTGCAAGATAGCTATGTCAGCAATTTTATCTGACCCCAGGAGATGGGATCTATTTGAGGCGCCAACCCACTGATCGCAAGCGGGATTCCAGGACTCGCTTACTTGTTTGGGTAGCGCTAACCACCGTCCGGCGATATAAACATAAGTCTCCTTGCTTTTCCCTCTTCACAAATGAGCGGTATTGATGGTTCGGGTGTATAGACTGGGTAGGCTGAGGTTGTTGCGTTGAAAGGATCGGAAGGGAACCAGCCTTCGCCAATCTCTCCTATATTATTGAGCTAGCTGAAAACACGGGGGTAAGCCGAGATGGTGCTTTGAAGTCAGATTGAGCAATTGGAACTAAAATGGAATTGCATGGTCGTTAGTGGAACCGAGGATAGGAGAAGCTTTGTTCAAAGAATAATGCTGAAAGAGATAGAGAACGGTGTCATTGTCACCGAGAAGCGATAGATGCGGCGATTCGACAAAGCAACCGCGTTCCCACCGGGGATAAGATGCGCAGCAGGGAGGACAAGATGAAGACATAAAGAGAGAAGCAACATTGACCAGCAGGACAAACCACGCGAAGGGGTGGAAAGAAAGTTGCCTGTCACCACACGTACCTAGCTATGTCGCCCCTCATATTAGACGCTGATACCCCTCCAATTATCCTCTTCTCCCCTGCAACTATAATGGTCGGGGACCCGATCCACACTGCTGCACTTGAGAGGAACCCGTGGTGGCCGCTGAGGAAAATCCACGCTCGCCTAAGACCGTTGTTTTTGTGTGTGTCTGAGCGGTGCTGAAGAGGGCGGTGGGTGTACCAAGGGGAACCCGGGCGAGCGAACAAGAACTGAAACCACCGGCGAGGATGGGTTGAAGAATTGGCAAAGAGAAGTCGGGGAAGGAAACAAAGACTAGCTTGTGCGATGAGTAATTCCGAAGACGCTGTGTTTTGAGGCAGATCAAAGAGACACAAGAAGTGAGTGATTCCCGCACGGTGCTGTAGGTGCTCGGACTCGAGTGTCGCAGCGACGACACATTCCTTGACAGCGTTATGCAAGCGCGGATGTGTGTCAGGCTAAGAAGCCTCCGTCTTTTAAGGGGGGGGGATGGGGGGGAAATCAGCAGTGGAGATGGCGTTGCAAGGCTCCAAAATAGTTACTGCGTGGCTTCAGAGTGCTTATGGATTTATGGAAAGCCTATCTGGTTAGTGCACAGACGGACGCTTTGGGGCCGGTCAAAGGAAGACGAATAGTAGTCGGCCCGTCGTACTGATAAAACAAAACAATAAATAGAAAAAGAATTCAAGGCACGGAATAAGAAGACGGTATAAAAATACTAATCGGAAGAACAAATAAGGCCGGGCTATTATGCTTTTGTCGCTCGAGCTTTTACTGTCAGAACACTTGTTCCTGGCTAATGCGATGGGATGAGATGGCGATAAAACCAAGCCTTAGCAGATTAGATCTTAACCAAAGAACGAGTGTCAGTTGAGCCAGGAACTGGAAAAGAGCTGGTGGTCCGAAAAGTTGGGAGGGAGAGATTGATTATGGAAAAGGAAAAGAACTCGTGGCTGGGGGAGGGGAGGGGGGGTGGAAACGGGAGGATGACGTTGGTCCACCACGTACGAGTACTACTAAATATTCCAATTTCTACAACCACAATTGATAGCCATTCTTTTCTTCTCTCCATCATTGACTAGACAAGTACATATACTGTCATGTGCACATAGTAAATCCTCAATATGCTAGTCTACTAGTACTAGCATGGTGAACATAACAACAGCAAGAATAATAATAGTCATTGTTGGTATTCCGTACTTAATTGCCGAATAAAGCATTGCCGATTCTATCCCCGGCCTAAGTCGATCAAACGTTTTCTCTCAGGTGCACGGTCTATCGGTCTGATAGTACTGGAATTGAACAATAATGTGTGTGTGCGTGCATCGACAGTATAGGAGAGGTACTCCGTTGTACTCCGTTACCTACACCGTTGTACGGGGCTACAGCCTCCATCCCACCGAATAGGGACTGGATTTCACACCGAAAGATCGGGGCGGGAACGGTGAGTGGCTGCCATGATCGGGACTGGAAGGTACTAGCTTGGTCCACGGTGCCTTGGGCCAGCGGGATGATGCAGAGACTCCCCATTAAACCTAACCAACCACCAGCTGCTGCTTAACAGGGTGTTCCCACCGCCCGGGAGGCAAATCAAATACACGGCCTCCTCGGAAAATCACAGAAGAAGAAAAAAAAAAAAAAAAAAAAAAAAAAAAAACTTAAGCCTGGAGCCTGGAGCCTGTACCTGAAAACGCATGGCCTCCCCTCCCAAGCGGCACTTTAATTCTTTGACGAGCACAGTGCACACTATAATTACATACACTTCAAACCATAGTACAGTACGGAGTACTTACTGTACAAAACTGTCTAAGCTAACTAGGTGAAAATTCCCAGATATGCTTCTCAGATCTGATGCTGCATGATCCACTTTGTTGTATACCATTGCTCATCTGAGGATGTCCAACTGGTCTCTGCGTAGGCTCAGGGAACCCTGTTGCCAACCCACCACAACTATTTGTCTCAATAATTTCTCTTCTATTCTTTGTTCTAAGGACTCGTTACCATGGTTCAAGTCATACACTATGATACAACTAGTGGGGTGATGGGAAACCAGCGATACATAGAGAAGGCATGCAACCAGCAAGCGAACCATGGGAGAGACGGTTCTATCCTGCCCCGCTTGTTGCAGGTACCAAGTCACTTTCGCATCCGATTCAATTGCAACAATGGAAGAAACATGGAAATGATACGCCTCTGGAAGATGGAATACAAGTACTTAATTTACCATGATCATCCCTGCGGTAAGCATTGACTACGCTGACATTAGCACTCCACAGGACCTACACGTAAATGGGGATGTGTTGCGGATACCCTCACTACCTGCAAATAAGTACAAGACAACTTACTGTACGGTACAGTACACGTGGGAGACGCCTGCGGCTGTGCACCCATGCGAAGATAGTAGTACTATAGATGTTCCCGTACATCTATCTAGGTTACCGAGCAGTTGAAGAAATCAGTAGATACTACGGAGACATGAGTAGATTACTTCGTAGGTCAACCCCACTTATATAGCACCTCTTGATCAATGGCTGCAAATAACTATTTGTCATAGTAATGATAGCGGTAAGGCAGCACCATCAAGGTATATTCACCGCAACCGATGTACAGGAATACAGGAGATACACTTATACGCAGATACTTTTGAGAGGGACAAAACATATGTGTGTGGATCAACTATAGCACATCTCAGCAAGTGTAGTTGATAGCAATAAAGTGGTCACTCTAATGCTTGTCTTTTGCATGCGCATGAAGAGGCGAGAGCCAGTGGGAAAAGCAGGGACCCAGGGGCAACTGCCATTTGGCTCTCAGGGGTTTCACACGGTCACACACCGCCGTCCCACGGTCCATGACGATCCCGCCTTAGACTACCTTTAGTACTGAGTAGACGCCGGGCTGAAACATCAGCCCCGCCATCTTACTAAGAATGCTCCAACGGCTGCTTTCAGTAGGCATCATCCCACGTGACACAAAGCCCTCTCGGTTTCCGACTACCGGCACACTTCCCTGCCAAAGGGTTTTCCTTCGTCAAGTCTCCGGAAAGTTCACTTGTCTGCACCGAGGATCGCATGCACTGGAATCTTGTTTTCCTGTGTTCACATATTCTCTAGCCACCAGACGTCCAGGTGGCGTCTCAAGTTTCCCCTTACGGCTGTTTCATTTGATCTCCGCTGTGGCGGGCATCATAGTTACGGCATCAAGTCCTGTCCACACCCTGGAGAAGCTTTTATTGCCCCTCAGTTGATTTGATCCAGGGTCTTGCAATTGGCCTGATATCATATACTAACTATCACTTCAACCCTAAGGGTGTCTTTGTCAGGCTCCGGTTGCTGTATCCCCCGTTTTTCACACATGTCCTTGGTTTCAAATCCGGGGAAGGCCGTTGGCCATCCGCCAAACCAGCAACTTTGCGTTCAGAAACACGTGGAATACGTCAAAAAACTGGATAGCGTGCGTTGTTCTTATTCCGACCATAGCTCCCCACACGGTAGGGAAGGCGGTTGACAGATGATGCTAGAGGAGGGATGAGCTGGAATATTGGCTCACTGAGCACCTTCGCCTCAATGGGGTTTATTGGGGTTTGACAGCTCTACATCTCATGGGATCTCCAGAGGCATTGCCTCGTCAAGAGACCATCGATTTCGTCCTCTCATGCCAACGAGACAATGGAGGATTTGGAGCTGCTCCAGGCCATGATGCACACATGCTGTACACAGTGTCAGCCGTGCAGCTTCTCGTCACACTAGATGCCGTGGACGAATTAGAGAAGCGTGGCCTAGGAGGCAAAGAGAAAATTGGCTCTTGTACGATATGACTTCACCTGAGTCTGCATCTGCAAAGTCTTACTAAACATGCGCAGTCATTGCAGGATTACAGGATCAGGAATCTGGTGCATTCTACGGAGACGAGTGGGGCGAACAAGACACCCGTTTTCTGTACGGTGCATTTAATGCCTTGTCGCTTCTGGGTCTTCTACATTTGGTCGACGTCTCCAAAGCGGTGGAGTACGTCAAAAAGTGTGAGAACCTGGACGGTGGCTATGGTATACGACCAGGAACCGAGACCCATGCTGGCCAAGTTTTCACTTGTGTTGGCGCTCTAGCGATTGCCGGGCGATTAGACCTGGTGAACAGGGACCGCTTGGGCGGCTGGCTGAGCGAGAGACAGGTGGATAATGGAGGTCTCAATGGGCGTCCTGAAAAGCTGCCAGATGCTTGCTATAGCTGGTGGGTTGGTGCTAGTCTGGCAATGATAGACAGACTACATTGGATCGACGGCAGCAAGCTCGCTGCTTTCATCTTGCGCTGTCAGGTAATATCCCCTTCTATGTCTCGCTGGGTATTGACTAATCCGCCCTAGGACTCGGACGCTGGAGGTATCGGTGATAGACCCGGTAGCATGGTCGATGTTTTCCATACATGTTTCGGTGTCGCTGGCCTGAGCCTTCTTAAATTTGATGGTCTGCAGGAAGTAGATCCAGTCTAGTAAGTAACTCTTTGAGACAGATCCCTTTTTCAACAGGGAGACCATGCTGACGGGTTGTCCAGTTGTATGCCGAAGAGTATAACGACGAGATGCCTCGCCCCGTAAATAGCTCCCCTTGTTTGTGACATACTGGCTTCATCCATCAATCCCTTTCGTAGTACTACCTCCTGCAATCTAATAACCCATTTTCCTTTCCTCAGTGGATAATGGGATACAAGGCAGGAGAAGAAAGATAGGCACTGCGACTTATTTCCGCTTCATCCCTCTACATTGGCCTGTTAAGCGGCCGTTAAGACGCAGTGGCACATGCTTATCCGAGTCACGAAGTACAAGTACCAGAGCTATATTGATAGTCAATCTACTAGGATGTGTCATTCAATGCATTACGATGTCCCTGCGTCAATGATATGCCTCATTCCGGTGTCGGAGATGTCAGTCTATGCTCCTAGTAAACCTCCTTAGCAGCTATAGCGGCCTTCTAAGGTGACTGACTACCTTACTGGTACTAATCACCCTCTCTGGCCGTGGCGGTTAGTTCCTTCTTCAATTGTCGTCGGGCATAAATGACGACAACAACAACAACAATGGTAGGTAGGCACGACTGTCATCGCAGGGAAGGAAGGACTCCAAGTGTGCCTGTGCTATCTGTCGTCCTCACGTAGGTGGTCTTGGCCTTCCCACACTAGTATTCTGCCTGGCCCAGTCTTTCTATATTGGTCTCTATTCTAAGCACACTGATCGGTTCCTATCCATGCAAGCACCACTCTGGATTTAACCCTTTGTTGCTTCCCTTGATAGCATTGTTCAAATTCGAATTCTTATCCTTCCAGACCCCTTTGCCATGGATGCAGCTGCACTTTTATGCAACATCTGCCCCAAACGTCCCACGTTCAGCGATGTATCTCACTTGCTAACCCATGTCGCATCGAAAGCCCACCTCTCTCATTATTTCAAGCTTCAGGTACGCAGTCATCAGGAACAACAAGCAGTTGATCTTCTGGACGAATATGACCGTTGGTATAAGACCAACAATCTCGGGAGATTGCTTTCAGATCGAATGTCCTCAAAGGAAGCTCGAAAGAAGAAGACATCGACGAAGCCTACGACCCACGCAGAGGTCAAGGTCGAGAAGCCAGACGCCCCCATATCTGTTCTTCCCTTGATACATCACCCTTTTCCTGACTATCTAGACCCTCGCCTTGCTGACACCTGCATTGAACGACCGTTGGAACTCTCACACGCTGGATCATTCTCGGTGTCTTGTGTTACTCGAACAGACCCTTCCGCCCAGGCGTGTCAGTCCTACCCTCACGCAATGCACAAAAATGACTCTAGAGGTTCTGAATGCGAGCTTTGGAAACGCGAGCCCAGAGATGCGATTGCGTACGACGATGGCTTTTCTGTTATGCCGTACTGGGCAAGCCCGAGAGAGGACAGAATGGCGACCGACACACACACAATTGATCGCGGATACAGTAGCGACCCCTTCCTGGATGAAGGTGATAGCATTGACTGCCCTGTGTCCGGCCTACTGGACAAAGAGAGAGCGGATGAGATGGCTAGACTCAAGGGCATCCTGTGGCCCGGTATGGACATCTTCGACTCTGCCACAGAACAAATGAGGCGTCGACGTAACCAAAAGAAGGATGAGAGTATCCTGAGGATGATGGAGAAGACCTCCCTGTGCGTCGAGCCGACAGAACTTGTCTTCTCTCCAACAGGAATCCTCCGAAAGCAACGGGTAATCTCTGGCAATGTTGAGGATAGTAGTCCGCTCAAGGGTGAAACTCCCATACCCAAAAGACGAGTCAGCCGCCCCAAGAGGGTTCTCTCGCAACTTGACGCTAACATTAATCGTCGGCAACATGGACCGAACAAGAAGATTGAAAGGCAGAGTGTCGAGTGTATGGCTGAGCATTCGACCCAGAGTGCTGCTCAATCGCGCCAGGGTCAAGTTTCGGTTTACCGGAAGAGCTGCGCAGACGATCAAGCTAAGTCTGTCCCTAAGAGAAGGAGCGGGCTCAAGGATCGCAACGAGTTCGCAGTGTACCGTGACGAGGAAGGACAGCACCGGCGAAGCTCGAGGACCCAGTATACCAATGGTGGATTGTCATATGCAGCATCTGCCGTTTCCCACCCCATTTTCCTACTACGCGAATACACAGCCCGTCCTGACGAGTGTGCGTCCCACTCCGCTACTCATCTATCTGCATTCACAGAACGGACCGCTGATGAGTCCATGGATAAGGAGAACATCGAACCTCTCTTCGATGCCTGCGGCCGCATTGATCCTGGAGTGGGCTGGCGTTCCCCTGCCATGAAGCAACATCTAGCAAATGACATAGGTTACCCGCCACAGCTCTTCTATCAGAATGCTCAATCTGCCGGTCTGAGTCCATTTGGAGGTCATGATAGTCCCGCAGGATATCACTACAATCCTCTATCAGTCTCGCTGGGCAGACTACCTGTTGAAGAGACTCAATTGAGTACCCTGAACTCACAGGTGGGAGCTAATTATAAGGCACGCGCTGAGTCTCCCGAAGGCACAATCTCAGATGCCGAGGAAGGGGAATTTGACCGGCTGTACCTGCCTGGGAGCTCTTGTTGAACTTCCACTCTTGTCATTGCTGCCGGCCCGACTGCATCCTCAGAATGTTATCGCCGGCTTACTCTCAATGTCGCCGGCACCAAAGCACACTCCAACGGTAGGGGACAGGATGGATCTCTGCTATGGGCACATAGCCCAATGCTTTATACGCGAAGTTCTTATAATCATGCATTACCTATATGTCAGTAGAGACAATAGGTCGCTGCCTGGAGGCTGATGTTTGACGTCTTTCATTACTGCATTGACTGTTCAGGTATCGCATCGCAGACGTATACTGCTATAGTGTTAGATATCCATAAACAGAAGTATACTCGAAGACCTACAGGCTATGTAGCTCCGAATCATTAGAAAAATCAACACTGCTCATAGTGGATTACATAAGCCAGAATCATGGGCAATCTTCAACCCGGAGACACGAAAGCGCGTCGACCACGCGTCGAGCTCTGAAGTTCTGAAGCGGCACTAGCTTCGCCGAAGTGGACTTTAGTGGCGCTGTTAAGGCAATACAGTACCCGCATGTGATAATGATTCTCAACTGTGACAAGGAGGCTCTTCCAAATTCCATACTGCAAAAGGCTGTCAGGTTGTCACAGCTTTTGATTGCACCGATTTGAGTTCGTTGCCACTTCGTTGAAATCGATGGTATACAGCGGTTCCTCATCTACCTTCGCTTGAGCTTGTTCAAGCTCTTCAGCAAAACACACAAAAGCTGCACCCATTGACAGACTCTTGAAGAACACGGCAAAAGATGCCTCTACCTTCCTCGTCACCTTCGTCTTCCCAGAATACGAAGCGCAAGCAATCGACACTCGCCAGCTTCTTCACCAAGAAGTCACAGCCCCTCCAACCCGGGTCGGTCAACGGCGTCGACAGACAGACGAAGCTCGCGGAAACTGGCTCGGAGGAAACGACAGCCCCCGACAAATTACGGAATCGCCAGGATGATTCGACACGGGACAAGAAAGAGGAAGACGAAGACGACGATGACATAGTCGCACCGGCTCCAAAACGAAGCAAATTGAATGGCTCTCGCTCCCAGGGAAACCGTTCGCAGACAGGCTCCTCCGCTACTGAAGAACATATACCAGTGTCGCAGAGTAGCCAGCGGACGGATCTTTCTAGATTCGCTAGCTCACCCGCCGCTGGACCTGGGACCCAGAGACATCAGGAACCGGAACCTACAGAAGTGAAACAGCGGCAAAAGGAATTGGAAGATTTGCATCAGAAATTTGTGCGCAGGCTGGGCGGCGCAGATTGCTTGATAGGCATCAACAGGCATGCTACTGGTGCGACCGATGTCGTGTCTACTGAGGACGCCGCTGAAGGGGAAGAGGACGAGGATCTGGCGCCCGCTCCTCCTCCTCCTAAGGGCAAATCCGCTGGCAAGAAGGGGGCCAGTAAGCTTACGCCGATGGAGAGACAAGTCATTGACATCAAACGCAGACACAAAGATGCGGTTCTGGTAGTGGAGGTCGGTTACAAGTTCCGGTTCTTCGGTGAGGATGCAAGGATCGCAGCCAAGGAGTTGTCGATTGTCTGTATCCCAGGAAAGCTGCGCTTCGATGAACGTGAGTGTACCAAAACCCTCGCGACTGCAGACACCGCTAATACCTGAGCTCTTTGCCTTCCAGATCCTTCAGAGGCACACCTCGATCGATTTGCATCTGCCAGCATACCGGTCCATCGACTACATGTGCATGTCAAGCGCTTGGTTGCTGCCGGCCACAAGGTTGGCATCGTAAGACAGATCGAAACGGCTGCTCTGAAAGCGGCGGGCGACAACCGGAACGCACCATTTGAGCGCAAACTCACAAGCCTGTACACGAAAGGCACATATATCGACGATGTTGACGGCCTGGAAGGGCCTGCAGCATCTGGCGGCGCGTCTCCAGCAACAGGATACTTGCTTTGCATCACTGAGACGAATGCGAAAGGATGGGGCAATGACGAGAAGGTCCAGATCGGCATTGTCGCTGTGCAGCCTGCCACAGGGGACATAATCTATGATGATTTCGAAGATGGTTTTATGAGGACCGAGGTTGAAACCAGGTTACTTCATATTGCACCTTGTGAAGTGTTGATTGTGGGAGAACTTTCCAGAGCTACGGAGAAGCTGGTTAAGCATCTCTCGGGCAGCAAATTGAATGTATTCGGTGATAAGACTCGTGTGGAGCGGGCTCCCAAGTCGAAAACCGCCGCCGCTGAGTCTCACAGTCATGTTTCGAGTTTTTATGCTGGGAAGATGAAGGCAGCCAGTGCTGAAGACGATGCGCAGGCAAGTAGCCTTCTTCAGAAGGTGGTGAATCTACCTGAGCAGATAACCATCTGCCTTTCCGCCATGATAACGCATTTGCAAGAGTATGGCTTGGAATATGTTTTCCAGTTGACCAAATATTTCCAACATTTCTCTTCCCGATCGCACATGCTTCTCAATGGGAATACCCTTATGAGTCTTGAGATTTATCAAAACCAGACCGACCACACTACCAAAGGCAGTCTCTTCTGGACTCTTGATCGCACACAGACTCGGTTTGGGCAAAGACTGCTTCGGAAGTGGGTCGGACGCCCTTTGTTGGAAAAGACGGCTCTTGAAGCGAGGGTCAATGCCGTTGAAGAGTTGCAAAGCTCGGAAAAAACTATCATGGTCGAGCGACTAAAAAGTTTGTTTGCTAAGATCAAGACTGACTTGGAGAAGAGCCTCATTAGGATATACTATGGGAAGGTGAGTTTTCTTCTCGTGTCCAGGCAATATAGTGTTTGTGTATAGATGCTAAGATCTTGATCGCAGTGCACCAGGCCCGAGCTCCTTACTGTGCTCCAAACCATGCAAATGATTGCGCAGGAGTTCGCAGATATCAAGAGCGCTGCGGATGCTGGATTTGAGTCCCCTGAGATAGGCGAAGCTATAGCCTCTCTCCCCACAATTCTGAATGATGTTGTGTCGTTTTTGGATAAGATCAATATGCACGCCGCAAGGAATGATGACAAGTATGCCTTCTTCCGAGAAGCCGAAGAAACCGAAGACATCAGTGACCACAAGCTGGGGATCGCAAGCGTTGAGCATGACTTACAGGAACACCGCAACATTGCCGGTGAAAAGCTCGGGAAAAAATCAGTGGAGTATAAGTCTGTTGCGGGCATTGACTATCTAATTGAAGTTGATAATAGCTCGCCATTCATCAAAAAAGTACCCGCGTCCTGGGCGAAGATCAGCGGTACTAAAAAGGTGTCGAGATTTCACACGCCCGAGGTTATTCAGCTCATCCGACAACGAGACCAGCACAAAGAGGCGCTGGCTGCGGCTTGCGATAGAGCCTTTCGTGCCCTTCTTGCTGACATAGGCGCTAAATATCAAGCCTTCCGTGATTGTGTACAAGCATTAGCCACACTGGACTGCTTGATATCCTTAGCTACTATCGCGGGCCAGCCTGGATATGTGAAGCCTCAATACACGGATAGCACATGCATCAGTGTCGAGCAAGGCCGCCATCCTATGGTTGAGCAATTGCTGCTGGACAGCTACGTGCCAAATGACATCAATCTGGAGAGTGACAAGACCCGCGCACTTCTAGTCACTGGTCCCAACATGGGCGGTAAGTCTAGCTATGTGCGACAAGTCGCCCTTATCGCCATCATGGGCCAGATTGGATCATATGTGCCTGCGCAGTCCGCAAAGCTCGGCATGTTAGACGCTGTGTTCACCCGCATGGGCGCATTTGATAATATGCTGGCAGGAGAGTCCACTTTCATGGTTGAGCTCTCTGAAACAGCGGATATCCTCAAGCAGGCAACGCCACGCTCGCTCGTCATACTGGATGAGCTAGGCCGGGGCACTTCCACCCATGACGGTGTCGCAATTGCCCAAGCGGTCCTGGACTATATGGTTCGTTCTATCAAAAGCCTCACCCTGTTCATCACACACTACCAGCACCTCTCATCACTGGTACACTCGTTTCCCAACAATGAACTACGAAACGTGCACATGCACTTCACCGAATCGGGGACCGGTCAGGATGAAGAGATCACATTCCTGTATGAGGTGCGAGAAGGAGTCGCGCATCGCAGTTATGGACTCAACGTGGCGCGGTTGGCAAACCTTCCAGGTCCGCTCCTACAGCAAGCGCGTCAGAAGAGTAAAGAGCTCGAGGAGAGAATCCGTCGCCGGAAATTGGCAGGCCTTGTTTCGGCAGTGGGAAAGGCTGTAGGGGATTCTACGAGCGGGGACGATGAGGGATTGATGGATCGACTTATCAGCAGCGCAGAGCAACTGTAGATGTTATTTAACCTCGCGACATTGCTTTGGATGTTTGCTTGTCACATTCGATGCAGGGGTACCTGAAAATAAAGGCATGACGACCATCATTATGTATAGACCTGACAATACTGCAAATTATGTCATTACGACACCTCATCAAAGCCCCTTCTTCGCAATTGAATTTACGTGTGCTGCTTTCCGGAAGTTGCACATCCATATACCCACCTGAACTAGATCTACTTTACAAGCAAGCGTGTAGCAATTCTATGAAATTGCGTCCAAGCCTTAGAACCTTGAATATGCAGCTTTACCGATCCCTGTAGTTCTTCTCGCGCGAGCTGAGAGTGAACAAGGTGGTGAAATGAACAACCCTCGAACAAGTGGATCTCAGGATACAGCAAAGACCGTAGTGTATCAAAACTTGATCCATTTCTGCTCCAGATCGTGGGCTGATATCGATCGTCCCTGGTATCTATCTCAAAGGTCCGGTGGATTTCAAATTTTTTTCCTTTTTGTATTTCAGGTTGATCTCGGTCTCGTTTGTTTCTTCTATGGAACCCTGGTATATCGGAACACAGAATGGTAACAAACGCAAATCATCACAACCCGGATGCCGCATCAGCCCATGAGATGTTTTTTATTGCCTTCCCGACCCCCAGAATCATTTCCAACACAAGCAAGGGTACATAGCCTCGAGAGGGAAGAAGATAAGAAAATTCGGAGAGTTGAGGAGATTTAACGGAGACGGCGGGCCTCGCGTTCGGACTCGAGCAGGCAGAGGATGTCGTCGACACGGACTGTAGTTTGCGGGAAAAAAAGAAACTGTGTTAGCCTTGCCATATGCGACGCGAAATGATAGTCGGATAAGACTCTGGCGAAGACCCGATATTTCCTTCCCGCCGTTCTTCGAGAATATCCCAAAAATTTGTCCCGAGTAACTCCTGCGTCGAATTTCCTCCTCATTGTCGAACCGCTTTCCCGTCTTCATTGGTTGATTTCCGATCGCGTTCCTCGTTTCACTTCCAAGCTCTTTCTTGTTTGGGATATCTCTCTACCGGAAGGTCGGAAATTTCGGGCCATGCCGAGCGCAAGCGCACGACGAACAAAGAAAAAACAAGAACTGATCAGACGGAGAATCGCATACCAGGGCCCTTGACGTTACGGATGATGCTGCGGGAGGTATCGTCCATGAACTCGACGCGGACCTGGGTGACACCACCACGGGAACCTATTGTGAAATCGAGCAGTCAGCGTTGACTGCACAGCGCGAGAGAGGCGTTCTTTTTCGGCAGCGCGACTGCCAACTGAAGCGGTTTGTCGTCAACATACCGGTACGGCCGAGGACACGGGTGACCTTGACGAGCTTAGCAGGCTGCTTGGCGGAATCCATCTTGAGGTTGGGCGTGACGGCAGCAAAGGACTGACGGGATGGAGGTGAAGATGGCGAAGGGGGACCGGGTTGATAGAAGTTGAAGCCGCTCGGTGAAAATCGAACGGGATTGCGGGCTTGTGTGGGTTGCATTTCCCCTTTGGGAAAAAGACGAGGGCTCAGGGCTAGTGTTGCCTCGCCCGTCAGGCATGAATAGCTGGCCTGGTACATCAGGCACGAGAAGGAGGGGCATGATGCCTCAGGCAGCAGTACATGCTCTCCCGGTCTTCGGTCGTCTGTCTTTTCTGCCGCAATGATCCAAGTCGCTGCCCGTCCCTCTGCTTTTCTCCTCTTCCTTTCCCCTCACCACCACGCCAACTTCACCACTCTTGTCAGAGTACTGTTTTCTTTCGGAGTGTATCCGCTTGCTTCAGGGCTCTCTCGCGATCCTGTAAATTGACCAATTGTTTCTCATCCGGTGTCCTATTCACCCTGTTACGCCTGAGTAATTTACCCCGCGCATCACCGATCGTCGACCGAAATATGGATCTCGTCAACCAGTAAGTGTCAATTGGTCAACCAGCATGGTTCAAGCGCGAAACCCCAAACAACAGAAGTACTGTTGATCGCTAGAACTGTCGTCATGCTAACCTTTTTTAAAAAACAGCCTCGAAGGAAGACTACTCTTCGCCGTCCCTAAGAGCAAGTGCCTGCCATGACTCACCCACTCCCCTCCGCCGCAAGAAGCCTCAACACCTCCCATGAGATCCGAGCGTTGGCTTGTTACACCTGTACAAGAAAATCCAAGCTAATACTGTTCTTGTCTTTACAGAGGGTCGTCTTCAACAAGCTACCTTGGACCTCCTGGCCGGTGCCGACATCCAGTTCCGCCGCGAAACCCGCTTGGACATCGCCTTGGTGAAGAACTTGCCGATCGCGCTCATCTTCCTCCCTGCCGCTGATATCCCGACTTTCGTGGGTGAAGGGCGCGTGGATCTCGGTATCACCGGTCGCGACCAGGTTGCCGAGCACGATGCCCAGCTTCCCAGTGGTGAGGTTTCCGGCGTGGAGGAGGTTATGGATCTTGGCTTCGGCGCCTGCAAGTTGCAGGTTCAGGTCCCTGAGAAGGGCAACATCACGGAAGCCCGCCAGCTGGTTGGCCGCAACGTCGTGACCAGTTTCACTGCCCTCACCGAGGCCTTCTTCACCAAGCTCGAGGCCGAGGTTGAAGGCAGCCCGAAGACCAAGATCAAGTATGTCGGTGGCAGTGTTGAGGCTGCCTGCGCTCTGGGTGTGGCCGATGGCATTGTCGATCTGGTTGGTACGTGCAGGCTAGTATCACCTCGCTTGGAGGATGCAATAGCTGATCCGTGTTTCTGTACAGAATCCGGTGAGACCATGAAGGCTGCTGGCCTCAAGGCCATTGACACCGTTGTTGAGACCCTCTCTGTGCTGGTCAAGTCCCGGAAAACTCAGAATCCTCTGGTTGACCTGATCGCTTCCCGCATTCGCGGTGTTATCAGTATGTCTTTTCCCTTGATTCTGATGGATTAACCCCTAACGGCTTTCTACCTCACAGCCGCCCAGAAGTACGTCCTGTGCCAGTACAACATCCCCCGCGCGGAATTGTCGACCGCCTCCAGCATCACTCCAGGCAAGCGCGCCCCCACGGTGACTGCTCTGGATCAGGATGGCTGGGTGGCCGTCAGCGCAATGGTTGAGAAGAAGAAGATTGCTACCGTCATGGATGAGCTGATCAAGGTTGGCGCCACCGACATTCTCGTCCTGAACATTGCCAACTCGAGAGCTGCCTAAAGTGCTATGTCAATAAGTTTAGGGCAGCGTTTGTTTTCATTCTTGGTTGTGAACGTTCATGATGATATTTTTTGCATTGGGCGTGATAAATTTATTTCTTGGTTTTACTTTCTCCTGTGTGATTACCCAGCATTTTGTTCGAAATAGAAGGATTGGGTTTATTATGTGTAGTGGTTGGTTAGAGACATAGGCTAGACACCTATTGAGCTAATGATGATAGCATAGACTTTGAATGGGTGGTTAGATGTTCTATAGTGGTGGCTTCAACCAGGTCGGTTTCAAATCTCATAAGCTTCTATGATATATAGTTGCGCATCTAGTCACATTTATCTACGGAAACCACTTGGAGCGTATCACCATTTCCCGACCTTCACCCTGGTCCCCTCCACTTTTCCACATAACTGACAGTTGTCTTGTAATTAGAACGTATGCTATAAACATATAATACTTTCCCCACCTCACTCCTAGGGAGTGGAAAGAGGCCTGTTTTTGAGGTGTCAAGGATTCGTTGCCTGAAATTATGGGCATACAATCATGTGCCATCCGGACGGCAAGTCATAATACCCCAGCGGAGTTTAACTCCACTTACCAGAATTGGGATACCATTCTATCACTCTATGTTGTCAACTGTGCTGTAAGATCACTTCTATATTGTGTTGATGTTTCATACATTTGACCTGAGCCTCAAGCATGGGGCTGAAGGGGAAAGTGAACTATCACCGGGTCGCAATGATCGCGTTCGCAAAGCATGTGAGCTCTGTCGACAGATGAAGGTCAAATGCGACGGGACCCATCCCTGCAAGCATTGCTCTCATTCTTTTCATGGTAGGAGCCTCTCAAGCCTGGAGGGCTGTCACTAAGCATAATCGCCCGTTTGAAAATAACTTGTGTATAACATACTAATAACCAAAGAGTGCATCTATCGCGATACACATCGGAAAAGACACGCCGACTTGGACCACAGAACTTCCGCCAGGCCAGGCAAAAAACCGAGTTTGCAGAAGAGATCGAATCATATCGATGATTTCGATGCAGATTCCTCACAGATTGCTGCATGTCAGCCAGACACGCCGGAAGTCATGCATGAAGGTGATAGAGAAGAGGGTCGGCTGGAAGCACGACACCATGGGTCTTCCGGAGAACGGTCTTTTATAGAACGACTGAAGCTAGAACTCGGAGACTCCCCAGGTATCGAATTTGAGAGCAGATTGCGCGTGAAAGAGCGACTGGCTCCTAGGCTGTTCCTGCTAGGAGCTCCAAATTGCTTATCGAGGACTTCTGCGCCTCTCCCAGAGCGCCAAAGGGCACAGATACTAGTCAACCAGGCTTTGGATGCGCACTTACTCTACCATGCTCTGCATCGTCCCACCTTCACTTCCGTCTTTCAATTGTTGTACTCTCTCGACAGAGAAGACTACGGAGAGACAGAGCTTAACCACCTTCCTCTCCTCTACTCTCTGATGGCGGTAGGCTGCCTATCTGAGAAACACAACGAACATAGTCCCGCGGAGCTATCAGGAGGCTCGCTTTCTGAAGGGTGTGTTGCCTCCCACGATAACAGATCTATTGACCACATATTGACAATACTAGATTGAAGTATTTTGAAATCTGCCGCGATATGGTTGATCTCGAAGCTTGTGATAATCTTTTTGCCTTGCAGGCCATTTTCTTCATGAACATCTTTCTCATCAGTACCTGTAGATTATCCCGGTGCTACACCTATGTTTCTCACATGCTTTCCTTGGCTTTTCGCATGGGCCTGCACCGTCCCGGTAAGACGGATAGTCCGGTCGTTGTCGAGACCAAAAGATCTCTTTTCTGGGCTATATGGCAACTTCTGGTCACTTTAGCTTCCATGTGCGGCCTTCCAAAGCCAGTACCTGTTGAGGAGATAGGAATGGATTATCCCGAGACCATAGCCGTCAGTGCTCAGCCAGATCAAGAAAGGATGGGGCCCACGGAGAGTTTTCAGGTACCAAAAACGATACCCAGTCATCTGAGTTACCTGAAACTTCATGAAACTATCTACAGAGTTGTGAAGAGCCTGTATCCTCCAAACACTATGCAGCATCGGGATGGGAAAGAGTTATTGAAACACTTTGTCACCAAGGATACTATTTTCAAACTCGAGGACGAGCTACGGAGATGGACCAAGCACCTTGCCATTCGTGACATACTAGCAAAACATAAGAACAATCAATGGTCCCGAAGGTAAGGGGGATCGGAAGTTCTTAGAACCATCATACGAAAACGCTCACAAGCTACAGAGCGGAACACGAACTCTGTATGGCCTTCGCTCATACTCAAGTCTACTTATACCGACCGTTCATGCACTACCTATTTGAAAGTCACAACGTACAGCAAGAAGGCCGAAAATATGCACTGGCTGGAATTCGTGCAAGCTGTAATATCATACGCCTCGCGCAGGATATGCACCGCCATGATCTTCTGTTTGGATCGCAGTGGCGCGTGGCACATATGATCTCGACATCTGCCCTTACTCTTCTCTACGTTCTTCTTATCGACAAGACCTCTACAATGGCGCAATATCTTAAGACCGAGCTGAATATAGCGAGGGCTATGCTTGTTAGTCTTCGGCCTTATTGTATCCACTCGCAACGTACGCACATCGCATTGACGGTATGCTATGTTCTCGGTCGAATTCCTCCTTTGAGGCTAATTAATCTGACTAGGTGTTGACGACTGCACTCTCTCAAGGGTCAAAAATGCAAGAGCTGGCGAGTGCAGGTGACCAAGCTAGTCTCGCCGGAGAATCAACCTATCTAGAGACGAGTGATTTGGTGGCGAGGACATTTGCCAATCAGTCCAATCGAGAAGAATCATGCCAAGCACTTAATGAGAACCGAGCAATCGGTCAAGAGCCCAGGTCTCTACGGTATCCATGGGAAGAAATTGTACAAAACCAGCCGTCTGCAGCCAACGCAGCTCCACAGCAGAAGAGCTTGCACGGTGGACGCTATGGCGATTCTTTCACCCCCGTTTCTGCGCAGTCCTTGCGTGAAGGGAATACTGCGACAATGCCAGTAATCAAAGATGTCCCGCACGAACTCTTCATGACTCAGCCTGAGATGGCGCATCTTGAAGCAGGTATAAACACAGCCGAGAGCGCAAATGTTATGGAGGCGCGACCCTATGTGGACCAGCAAATATATGAGCAGTTTGACTACTATACGCAATCGGCCGGCCACGAGGACTTTAATTTCGACGGCGACGAGAGCTTCTACCCTTTCAACTTCTCTTTCTCAGAATTATAGTTTGAGAAGATAATGTTTTTCTATTTTTTTTTTTAGAATTGACGGCGTTCGTTACGAATTTTTATAGATATTATCCAGTCGGACCCACGGGGGCCAAATGATGAGGGCAGAAGGACGCTAACCCAAATTTCGGATCTTATGCCCGTCACGGAAGTGCCTTCTATTGCCCATGCAAACCAATCATCGCCCTTTCGAAGCATGGATCGATGTTGTTTGCAGAATAAAAAGAGCCATGGACCCAAACAACCCTTTTTAGAATTGATGGAGGGTGGGCGTCGTCTGGCAAGCAGTCGTCTTTGTTTCACTGCTTCCACTGAAGTGGTGCGAGAAAAGATCATGAAAAACCAGGAGGATGTGGTGTTGTCTCTCGAAGACAAGCGAGAGAAACAGGAACTAGGTGCTGAGGTGTCCTCAAGTCAGGCCAGAGAGGAGTATCCAGTGACCGATCTGAGCATAGGAGTTGTTGGCTGGGAAAGTCAGGATGACCCTTCGAATCCGAGGTAGGTGATGGCTACACTTGTTTTGAACAGCGGCGCTGAGTGTATGATAGGAATTACCCAGCATCTCGAAAGTGGTTCCTGCTTGCTTTGATTAGCATGATCACACTAGTCAGGTACACTATCCCTTGCCGCATACTCCCAGACCTATAACTTATCCTTCCGATAGCCCGTTTGCATCTTCTGTCTTTGCCTCAGCTGCGGTGTTTGCTGGAGAAGAATTCGGGAATACATCCTCGATCGAACAGACTTTTTCTGTGACGGGCTACCTGTTTGGCTATATCGTACGTGCTCTTGTACTTCATTAAGCTCGTGTGGAAGTGCTGACCAGAATTTTATAGGCCGGACCTCTTCTATTCTCTCCGTTGAGCGAGATGTTCGGCCGTACGATCGTTCTCAACATTGCGACAACCTGCTTTGTGCTGTTCCAAATCGGCTGTGCGCTAGCCCCGTCCATTCGAGCATTGATTGGCTTCAGACTCTTGACGGGCATTGGTGGCTCAGCATGTCTTGCTACAGGCGGCGGGGTCGTTTCCGATCTGTTCGTGGCTGAAGAGCGAGGCCTGGCCATGTCGATTTATCAGGCCGGTCCATTGTTCGGACCTGTCCTCGGGCCCATCTGCGGGGGATTTATCGCCGAAGGAGCCGGATGGCGATGGGTAGGTCATTCGATATACTCGTTTCTCATGCTGCTTATGTGCGCGATATCTAAGAGCAGAGTATAGGTCTTCTGGGTTCTCGTCATTGCCGGTGGGACGCTGACCTCCCTTGCCGTGATCTTCAATCGCGAGACAAACCCCACGGTTCTCATCCGCCGCAAGACCGCAAGGCTGCAAAAAGCGCTCGGCCGATCCGATCTGCGGAGCTGGTTCGATGTGCAGGGCGACAAGCTGAAGTTGCCCCTATCTCGCAGGTTGTCCATGCCTCTTCAACTACTATTTCGGTCCCCAATCGTTTCAATGATTGCCGTCTACATCGCTGTCGTCTACGGCTGCCTTTATCTCCTCTTCACCACCATCACCGATGTCTTCGAGAGCACATACCACTGGAGTCTCGACATCAGCGGGTTGGCCAATCTCGGCATCGGGGTGGGCTTCCTCACCGGCCAGCTCGTCTTCGGCCTGCTGAGCGACCGCACGATCGCGCGGCACAAGCGGCGCAACCACGGCGTCTACGAGCCCGAGATGCGGCTGTCGCTGAGCATCTACTTTGCGATCTGCGTGCCGGTCTCCTTCTTCTGGTACGGCTGGTCCGTGGGCGCGCAGACGCACTGGATCGTGCCGATCGTCGGGCTCTTTCCCTTCGGATTCGGGATCGTCGGCATCTTCGGCACGCTGCAGACGTACATCATCGACTCGTATCCGCGGTATGCGGCCTCCGGGACCGCGGCCGTGACGGTGACGCGCTCGTTGCTGGGGGCCTTGCTTCCCCTGGCCGGGTCGCCCATGTATGCGGCCTTGGGCTATGGGTGGGGGAACTCCTTGCTGGGGTTCGTTACCTTGGCCTTGCTTCCGTTGCCGATCGTCTTCGGGCGCGTCGGCAAGGGTCTCAGGCAGCGGTTTGCTGTGGATGTGTGATCGTGCGGCACGGTCAGACCCGCTTGCGGTTTTCTAAATGAATAGCACGTTTGTTGGCAGTGAGTGCTAGCAGGGTAGCAGCTGTACCAGTCTAGCCTTCCGGAGAGTGGTTTGGAACTATAAAAGGGGGATGGGTGGGTGTCCTGAGTGATCAAAGGACATGGCCCGCTAAGGTGGTTCTGTACTTACTTCAAAACTACATGTCACAGAGTACGTCCCTGTCAGCGTAGTCCTGGACTTCCTCCTGTCATTTGTATTGTTCCTTACAATGAACGATCCTATTTCCGATGTACCCACACCTCACACTAAGATCTATATAAGCTTCGCAGCTTGAGTCGGGATCCCCCGAGATTATATTATGTACAGTACATCCCCAGTTATGACTATTTAGCACGTAAGCCTTGGAGCAAGACACAGGGAAATCTCAGAGATACTTTTACGACTTCTAAACTGGAACTCTGACAGCTTGTTCGCGAAAAGAAAAAAAGGGGAGTATGTACTGTACCTACCGACTAGCCCTGATCTCGGGGGCTTCCTCCGATATTGAGGTTAGCGCCACGCTAACCCTAAATCCGGGGGACCTCGATAAGCTCCAGGCTAAGATACTATTTACCTATCTATCCATTGAATCATAAAAGTAGGAGAGACAGGTCATGTGCGACCAGCATTCAACAGCCAGCGGCCATTGAATAAGGCCTTGCTCCACAGACATGGCGTACCAGGTACCAGCGTGACCAAAGACTGACACTAAGCTTTTATACTTGACGGATGTACAGTAAAATGCAGCCGTAGGCCGGGGCGGATACAGCGAAGATGATCTTCGATTTAGTAACTATAGCGTAAGCATGCAGCCTAGATGGCCTTGATTGAAGGAACCCCCCCCCCCATCAAGAAATCTACAAGAGTACTGTACTCGATACTCCAAGCATCTATCTCGGATAATCCCATACCCAAAACTACAACCCCCCAAAATCAAAACGGCTTATACGCCTGCCCCTCCACCTCCTCCAACACCCGCACCGCCCTCCGATACCCCTCCATCCCCCTCAACCCCCTCACATACCCGCGCAACCGCGGAAACCGCTCCGGATCGATCGCCCGGATCTCCTCCGCAATCACCAACGGATAACTCATGAGGATATCCGCTGGCGTGAACTGCGTCCCGGCGAGGTAGGAGGCAGCACCAGCAGCAGCAGCAGCACCACCACCACCAGCAACCGCACCCGCTTCCCCAGCACCAGCAGTCCCCTCCAACAGCCCCTCCAAGAACCCAAAATGCGTCTCCAGATTCGGCCGCGTGTACTCCTTATTCACGATGGCCGGGACGATGCCGAGCACGGGTTTGACGAAGAACGGGGCGGGGGCGTTTTGGACCACTACCCACCGATGCAAACATTGTCAGCAAATCAGTAACCCCTCCCATGCCAGAGGCACCGCCCCTTGAGGAAAAGGCGCAGAAAAGAAGACGGGGCTTCACCATCCATCAAAATCCGCGTCACAACCACCGGCATCAAACTCCCCTCCGCATAATGCATCAGATACCGGTACCGCAGCCACGCCGCCGTCTCGCCGGCGGGGTGGTTCTCGCGGCCGGCGGTCCAGCGCGGTGGGAGGGTCAGCTGCCCGGGGATGTGCTCCGCGCCTGGCGGGAGGAAATGATCGACCAGATACTCGATGATGGCGGCGGATTCGGCGAGGATGAGCGGTGGTTGCTGGCCTGATGGCGCGATGATGCTGAGCACGGGGGCTTTGCCGAGCGGGTGGAGGTGTTTCAGGGCGGCTGGGGCGCGCTGCGTGGCGTCGCGCTTGTACGGCCGGATCTCGTAGGTCAGGCGCAGTTCTTCGAGGAGCCAGAGGATGCGGTGCGAGCGGGAGCGTTCGAGGCTTTTGGGTTTCCCCGAATTCTGGGGGTTAGGATGGGCTCCAGATGGTGGGGGGAATGCGGGGAGGAACTCAACTCACGAGTGGAGGATGATTTTGGCGCCGCGGTTGGCGGACATTTTGTTTGGAGGGTGGGGGTTTTGGTGGTTAATGGTTCAGATCCAAGGGAGTTGGAGAGAAGGGGGAAGAGGGGAACGGGGTTGTAGTTTATAGTTATAGTGTTTTCTCCGAGTAAGCTCACCTCGGGCTAGACTGGAATCGTTCTGTCGGAGATCCTTTCGGAGGTAAGTTAGCTGC